ACATAGGATTCACACTCTGACATCATTTTGACCCTTCTCCATCTAACCTCAAATGCTATTACAAATAGCCATGTTCCAGGTGACAAGCACAGTCCTCTTTCTTCATTTACTTTCCCAGTGATCCAATGAATATCATCAATGCTTGATTCACTTAAAAAAAAATTAGTAAATATTCTGGACACGGTAACTCACTCATAATCCTAGCGTTTGGAGGTAGAGGCAGGAGGATCAAGAGTTCAAAGTCATCCCCAGCTACACAGCAAGTTCAAAGCCAGGCTACATTGGATTTGGCACAAAAAAAAAAAAAATCAAGTACAGGGCTGGAGAGATGGCTCAGCTGTTAAGAATGTGTATTGTTCTTCCAGAAGACAAGAGTTCAGTTTCTAGAACCCATGTCAGGTGGCTCACAACTACCAGCACAAGAGACTCCAGTACCCTTTTCTGGCCTCCATAGGCACCTGCACTCACAAGTACACACTCGTGCATAGACACACATAGTCTGTATAATTACAAAATAAAAATCTTAGAAACTTAAATAAAGCATTACTTGTCTTATCTTAAGACAACAGAGACTTAGGAAGTCTCTAGTGTCACATTAAAATAACCAGAGAGGACGCTTTTTAAAAATAATATACCAAGTGGTCCAGGCGGTGACATACCAGTTAACAAAAGGTAACTTAAGGATTTATTTGTTTGTTTGCGCTGGAATTGAGCCCAGGGCCTCATGTGTGCACTTCAGTACTGTCTTTCACGACCCCTCCCCAAAGTCCTTAGAGACGCAGGGCGAAGCTATCTTCTCTTATGCGCCAACATCTGAGATGTCTCATGGTGGACAAACGACTCCAAGTTCAGGGCAAGGACACAGTGTATATTTAGAAAGAACAGGGTAGCAATTTAACTAGCCTGTATGCACGGCAAGTATTTAATTAACATAACTGTGTAAGTCAAGATTCTGTTCTTCCACTGAAGCCTTGACACCTGTGGGCTGGGTAATTCTTTGTGATGGGGGCACTGGGGTGCGAAGCTGTGTACTGTAGATTATTGATCTGCACCCCTAGTCTCTACTCATTAGATGCCAGAACATCTCTCTCCTATTTTTATTAAAACTATGATTTTTAAAAAGTCTCTAAAGTGTCTTCCCCACATAACAGAACGTATAAGGACAGCACACAAACTGGACTCAATGGGTTATTTAAAAAAAAAAAAAGGCAGCAGGGTGTGGTGGAGCACCCCTGTAATCCCAGCACTCAGGGAGCAAAGGCAGGCAGATCCCTGTGAGTCTGGGCCAGCCTGGTCTACAAAACTGGTCCAGGACAGCCAAGGCTACACAGAGAAGTCCTGTCTTAAAAAACCAAACCAAAACAAACAAACAAAAAAAAACGAAAAGGAAAAGGAAAAAAAACCAACCAAATAAAAAGGGGGCAACAAATTGGGAGGTGCCAGGGAGTAGATCTGGGAGAAGTTGTGGGAGAACTAAAGAGTGAATAATATCAAAATACTCAAAATACTTGTATGTATAGATGAAGCTCTCAAAGAATAATCAATGTGCAAAAGAAAGTTTTCAGAAAACACTCTGATTTATAGAATAAAGTAGTGCTCAGTTCTAGAATTGAAAAGGCCAACTAGAAGCTGGGCATGATGGCATATGCCTGTAATCCCAGCACTCTCAGAGAGCAGAGGCAGACAGATCACTGTGAGTTCTAGGGACAGCCAAGGGTACATAGAGAAACCCTGTCTCTAAATAAATAAATAAATAAATAAACAAACAAATAAATAAATAAATAAATAAATAGATAAATGAAATTTAGAAGAAGAAAAGGCCAACTAGAATCTATGATTTCTTTAATTGTGTCCTTGGGTAGATGGGTAGGTCTGGCAACCAAAGGAGGAAGCCAGAGAAAGCTCAAGGAAATATCTAAGTCTAAACCTGGCACGGTGGCGCACGCCTATGATCCCAGCACCCAGGAAGGCAGAGGCTGGTGGATCTCTGTTGAGTTCAAGGCCATCCTGGTCTACAAAAGGAGTCCAGGACAGCTAAGGCTACACAAAGAAACCCTGTCATGCACACACACACACACACACACACACACACAAAGAAAATAAAAGAGAGAAAGGAAGGAAGAAAAAAAAATACCAAAGCCTAGGAGACACTGCTGGCCCTGCTGAGGGCTCCTGCCTTCCGTGGGAGCCTTGGACATTGTAAGCACTTAAGGGTATTGCTGCAGTACTCTTCACATGCAAATGTCCCTTTAAGAGGGTATTTGAGTAAAGTACACCAATCTACAAAATGGAATAGCCTTTTTCAAAGAAAAGGCCTAGGAGTTCCATCCTACAGCTGCCTGGAAGACCTTTTCCAGGCTCTGCTTTGAATCCGTTGTGAGGCTCAGGTTCCTTCACTACTGTGGTAGTGCAAACTGTATGCCCTCCAGACTGGATTTCCAAAGCTGCCTAATAACTAGAGAATTTATAATGGAGAAAAATTCGAAAGAGTCCCCTTTGGAAGCAAACACAACTTGCAAGGCTGGAGGGAGGACATTTTTATGCTGGCTGGGCTGCCTCTACAAGGATGTCTCTTCAGGGACACAGTAATATTGAATTCCCGCTCCTGCTGGGGTGGGCTTTTCAGTGATCAAGTTGCCTTTGAGTCATCTGCGCTCTGACACGCTCACCAGTTAGTTCACTATGTTAGCATGGCTACTGTTGGTACCCTACCTGGGGTGGGCAGATGTTTGTCCGCTTCTCCCAAGGGAAAGTCACACAACAGGAAAACATGTATCCTGTAGACATAATTTTTTCTCATCTTTTTGAGACAAGGTCTCACGTAATTCAGGTTGGCCTTGAACTAGGTTTGATGTTGAATGACTTTGGATTTCTGACTTTTCTGTCTCCACCTCCTGAATGCTGCTGGGATTTTGGGTTTGTGCTATCACACCTGGTTTTATGTGACACTAGAGATGTATGTAACCCAGGGTTTTGTGCATGCTACCAACTGAGCTACACAAGGACATGAAATTTGAAAGTAAAGTGTTAAGTGTTTTGTTTTGTATTGTTTTATGGGACCGACACAGTTAGACTCAATCTGGATATCAAAAGTTCTTGCAAAGTTATTAAGTTTAACAATCTTTCATGAATCGTTAATAGAAATTTATTGGGTGTGGTGGCATACACCACATGTGTAATTCTAGCACTCAGGAGGCAGAGGCAAGGAGGGTGAATGCAAGTTTTGTTTTGTTTTTTTGAGATAGCCAGGATCCTGTCTCAAAAAAATAAAAAAAGAAACCATGAAAACCACACATACACAAACCACTACACACAAACATATACTTTAGTCTTAGCTCCTCTGCCCACATAAAACATAACCTCTCATTGGCTGTAAGTCAAGTTACCAAGCACACAATGACTATTATTGAATTATCAACCTGTGCAGCTTAACAGCCATCAGTTGCTACCTGTAAGTTATGAGCCCATGGAACGCGGCCAGCATCCGGTAAACGTGAAATTTATGTCGATTTCCATAGATTAGCTATTTAAAAATCAACGTTCAAAAATAAGTGAACTGGTTTTTTTTTTTTTGGCGGGGGTGGGGGGGAAAGTAGAGATGTGGTTATGTAACTGGCTTACAAACTCCCCTGCATCAGCCTCCCTTATGCTGGAATTCTAGGCAGGTGCCACCAAGCTGGACTAAGGTATGAGAATTCTAACTGGTTACCCAAAGGCAATCAAACCAGCGTCAAAATTATCTCACATAAAATAGTCAGACATGGTGGCACACACTGTTTACCCCAGCACTCAAGAGGCAGAGGCAGAGGCAGAGGCAGAGGGACCTCTGTGAGTTCCAGGCCAAACTGGTCTACAAATCAAGTTCCAGGACAGCTAGGACTACATAGAGAGACCTTTTTTAAATAGAAAAAGAAAACAAAAAAAATATATTACAAAATATTGTAACACCCAAAAGTGTGATAAAAGCGTAGGGAGGAAATGGCTATAGATCTCACCCATGGAAGGCCTGCAAGCATGCTACTAATTATATCCCAATTCTCCAAAGATATTTTAAGAATTCAAGTTTCCTCTTAGACCAAAAAGTCTTTTTTATTATCTTTCCAAACGTCACTGTCAAACGATGTCCTTGGATTTTAAATGTTTTCCATCTGAAAACATTAAATACATTTGCCTATGTGTTATTTCCTATTTTTGACAAAAGCCCTGACACTTTATGTACCTAGTTTAAAAACCTGAGAGGGAGGTGTTCAAGGAGAAAGATTTCAAAAGCCTGCAGTTGATCAATAGTTAAATTTCATGCCAACATTTTTTCTAAATTTCCAAGTATTCTTTCCTAACCAGAAAAACAGACATGCAGGCATCAAAACATTTTTAAAATAGTCTGCAAGTTCTCAGGTTAAGTGTCTTTCCATTCTGACAATAGCACACACTTGACTCCTGCTACGGATGCTTATCAAGGAAAGCTTTCTATAAGACACAATGGCTTCCTATAAAGTCTGGAAAGTAGTATTTAGGTTAGTTCATGTGATTGGCAAGGGCCAGAGACTGGCCTTGGCTAACTGTAGCATTCGAGGCCAGCCTGGGCTACAGGAGTTCTCAGCCAAGCTTTGTTACAGAGTAAGATCGGACTCAAGACCAAGAAACAACAAGGGACAAGCTGTCCCTCCTTCACTCCTGTACTTGAAACGTACTTGGCTTTCATATCTCACAAGAAGCAATTCCTATATACTAGTCCTGCAGTCTCTAGTGCCCCTTAAACGGTGCACAGACTTTTTTTTCTCGGCGCATTCCAACAGTCTGCTGGTTAAAAGACCAAACCTGTCCCTACCGGAGACAGTCACGTTTATTTACGTTTAGATGAGAATCCACGCACTCCCCCTGCGTTTGAGAGGCCGCCTGGGTTGCGCTTACAAGAGAACTCTACCAAACAAATAAACGGAATCTAACTCAGGTGTTTTATTGGGCTCGTCCCCCTTCACCAGAGGCTTCGCCTACAATACCTTTTCCAAAACTGAGTCAAAACCGGGAACTTTGGACATGGCCTTCATTATCTCCCGTAGTTTCTGGATCATGCTGCTCATCGTGGATGCAACGCAAGAGTCTGGGCTCTGCGGGAATGAAGCCCGGAGGAGCCGGTGGTGAAGGAGACGCGGAAGGTCAGATCAGCAAGCCCAGCCCGTTTCGCGGCGCGCTCAGGACGAAGGGTTGCGCGCTCCCGCCGCCCGAGTTCCGGCAGCTCCGACAGCACCGCCCTTCGGCACCGGTCGCTGCTCAGCGCGCACGCGCAGGCTCCAGGCCCTCGCTCCTCCCCCCTCCCCTCGCCCCGCCCTCTTCCCCCCAGCCCCGCCTCCGCCCACGTGCTCGCCCCGCCTGAGGCGCAGACCCCGCCCTCGGAGGGCGGCCTCCCCTCCGGAAGTTGATTCGAAAGTGCGCGCACTCCGCCGTTTGCAGGCAGTCGCGCGGGAGGCGCAGAGGAGAGCGGAGGCTTGTAGGCCGCGCTGGAGCAATGGCGTCCGGGAGCGGTTCGGATGCCGCGGAGCCGGCAGAGCCTCGAGCGGCGCCGGGAACATCGAGGACCCAGGAGGAAATTGAGCTACAGGTGACGAGGCGGCAGCTTCAGTGCATGAGGTTCGCGCTGATAGCGAAATGCGACACCACCATGGCCCACACCTTCCTGTCCGAGAACGACTGGCAGGTGGAAGTAAGTTGGAGTTTCTCGCTTCCTCCGGGCTTCCCCGGCGGTGGCGGCGCGCCCTCCAGCCCCTCTATCCTTGTGCCTTTGCTTTTCAGAAAGCGCTGAGCGCCTACTTCGAACCGCCCGAGAACGACCCGGCGTGGCCACGGGAGCCCCCGAAGTCCTTCAAGTCCGAGGCCTAGTAAGCCACGGGGGTCGCGGGCGGCTTGCGTGGGGGCTGCGGTGAGGGTCGAAGACCAGACCTGGATATTAACGGGGACTGGGAATCTGAGGGAATGCTTCTCTCCAGGAATCACGGTCACTTACAACGTGACTTGCCTTTTTTTTTTTTTTTTGGTTGGTGTAGCTAGAACTCGCAAAGTGGACCTTGAACCCGCATCCATCCGCTTCTGCTTAGTGCTGGGATTAAAGGCACATACTACGACTGGCTTTTTAACCTGAATTTTTTTTTTTTTTTTCTCTCTCCTGTCAACAGAAAAGGGAAGAATTAAGTCAAGGTCTTACCTTGTATTCCTGGCTGGCCTAAACTGGTTAATGTAGACCAGGCTGGCCTCAAACACAGATCTCTACCTGCCTTAGATTCGAAGGGGTTGGGATTAAAGTGTCCATCACTACCACACCTGGATGAAATGTTTATTGTTTCTATTGTTATTTGCTCTTCTTTGAGACGGAGGATTGCAATATACCTGGACTGCAGTTCTTGATTCCCCTGTCCCAGCCTCCCTTTTGCTAGTATTATATCCTGCACACACCCCTCAGCTGAAATGTAATTTATTATTTGAGACGTGTGTCCAGGCTGACTTGGAACTCCTGTGTGGTTCAAGGCTTGACTCCTTCCAGTACTGGAATTAAAGGTTTGTGAAACACTACTGGCTATTGAAATACACTTACTGACTCGAATTATTGATGACATCTAAACTAGGAACTAGAAAAAAAATTATGGTAGAAAATATCTACTGGAGAATGGTAACCTGAAAATCTCCTTGTTTCTATAGTCAGAATATTGGAAACATTCCAGGAAAACATAGGAACCAATCAGAAACAATGAACACTGGGGTACTTAGAGACAGGTGGTAGTCTGCACAATAAAATATAAGTCCAATCAATGGATAGTAAAACTGGGATGAAAGTTGAGTGCATAGCTAGAGTTGTAAGAAAATCGTCAAGCTTAACAGAATGATATTTTATGAAACAAGTGGCCTGGACTCTTCAAAAATGTCACTCATGAGATACTAAAGAAATGTTCCAGTTACAGGATTTTAAAAGATAATTTATTGCTGTTAATGGAGTTCACAGTCCAGGTTGTAGGGTGTGTATGTAAACAAGTCTTCAGGGAAGGATAGAAGTGGTTTGGAACAAGAGTAAGGTAAGTAATTGCTAATTAAATAAGAAAATGTTAGCATTTGGAGAATTTGGCTGCGTAGTTGGTTAGAGGTTCTTTTGTTTGTTTTTCAAGACAGTTTCTCTAGCTTTGGTTGCCCTGGAACTTGTTCAGTAGACCAGGCTGGCCTCAATCTCACAGATTTTCCTGCCTCTGCCTCCGTAAGTGCTGGGATTACAGGGGTGCACCACTGTGTCCTGCTTGGTTAGGATTTTTTTTTTTTTTTTTTTTTTTTACTGCTTTTAGATTTTAAAAGTAGTTGTGAGGATTATAAGTTAACAAAATGCCTGAAGAGGCTGACTACTTCAAGGAAAAGCCATTACTTGTGACCAAGTGGCAGGTGGATGGTTATGCACATAGGAGGGTCACATTATGAAACAAGCCAGAATGACCGCAGTGAGGCTTTTGAAGCAACTCACTCAAGGGGAAGTGTTCCCTCTTAAAGGCAGACACACATGCCAATATGTGTGGATGCAGGACGACTTGCAGCTCTCTTTCCACCATGTAGGTCTGGAGATGGAACTCAGGCCATCAGGCGTGGCACCTTTACCCACTGTCTCCAGCCCAGCTTTTGCTTTTCTGCAGACTCTTAGCATTCTTCAAAGAAAATTATTTACAGGAGAAGTATCCATTATCTGAAATGCTTGGGACCAAAAATTGTTTGAGAGTAGGCATTATAGAATATGGATTTTCTGGTTAGGAGTGGTCAGGCTGTATTTTCACATTGACAGCAGTGAGTATAACAAAATTCGTGTTCCGAGGAGATAGTCTGCACACCTGTTGGAAGGCAGAAGTCAGATTCCTGGGTTCTCCAGGAGTAGTTCTCCTTGCTTGTTGAGACAAAGCCTCCCGCTGGGACTGTGGACTCACTGTTTAGGGTAAAACCGGCTTCAGGTATTCACTGCTCTCAGCCTCCCCGTGTTGAGATTGCAGGTATGCCGCAAATTCTAGTGTTTAATATGATGGCTCGAACTAAGTTATCTCATAGACTCCAGATGCAACATTTCTTAATTTCTAGATTTTTTTTTTTTAACCCTTCATTTTGATCTTGCCAGTGTTGATCTAACTGTTGAGGATCCAAATGATACCACCATTTTAGAAACTAGTCCATCTGGACCACCTCTAGAAGATAGCAGCATTTTCTCTTTCATTACCTGGAATATCGATGGATTAGATGGAAGCAATCTGCCAGAAAGGGCCCGAGGGGTGTGTTCCTGTCTGGCTTTGTAAGTATTGTCACTTCTGTGGTAGAGACTGTGATACGTGTTTTAATGGTTCTACAAAGCAGTAGTTCAAAGTCATACACTTGAAAATTTGACTTTAAGATCAGCTTAGAATAAATATCTGAGAGTTAAAGTGTTTTGATCTGGGGAGGGCCTCAGGGTGGATTGGAACACTGATTTATCACCCTGTTAGATGCTTTTTAGAAGCTTTCTAGCTTTACATAGTAAGTTTTGTCTATAATTACTGCTATGAAATGAAAATTACCTCAAATAATCTGTTTCTGGCCTCACAAGAGCCTTGAGACTAGGTAAAGCACTGAAGTTCTCTGGAGTTGTTAAGTTTGTGTATGACTATTGCAAACTCAGTGTAGTATACATAGTGTTTTCTGTTTTAATTCTGCTGGTGTTTTATGTGTGGGTGATGGGTAGGGGGTTGCTGGGATTAAATTCGGCCTTGTTAGGCAAGTGTTCTGTCACTGAGCTACACATGTAGCCCATTTTTCATTGGTTATTATGGCACTGTATAGTAAGTAATACAGATGAAAATCCAATAATATTTGGAATTTTCTCTAGGTAGCTGAAAATGAATGATATGCTGATGTTAAGTTGATGTTTTAATTAGGTACAGTCCAGATGTGGTATTTCTGCAGGAAGTTATTCCCTCATATTGTGCCTACCTAAAGAAGAGAGCAAGCAGTTACAAAATTATTACAGGTAATGCTTCTCTTGCCATCTTAATTGCCTTTTTCTTTGAAAAGTAGATCAGTGATGGAAAAAACATGAGAGGCTGTTACGGAAAGAAAAGGTACAAATAGGTTTGAGAAAAATAAGCAAGACACAGGTTACTTATATTGGAGGAAGGTCTGTTTTCAAATGCTGATTTTAGTTCCTTGAGATTTTGTTACCACCTTGTCATGGGCATTGTTATTAATGACTATCTCCTGTACCCATGAAATGATAAGGAATGTTTCCCAATTATTCCTGATTGGCTAATTAAAAAGTCTACACCTGGGCAGGGCAGAGGGAAGGTTTGGGGGCTTTGGGGAGAGAAGAATCTTGGGAAGGAGACAGGTACCATAGGTAGGAAGGAGCCTCCGAGATGGGTTAGTGGAGAGGAGCACATGGCCAGATTGGTGTGGATGGAGGAAGACTACCCAGGTGAAGAACATGAGCAAGTACTTTGAGATTATGGGTGGAAAGTAGACCAGAGAGAAATTATTAGAGCAGATGGCATGGGTTAGGATCTTGGGAGGTAAAGATAGCCTATTAGGTAATAATCTGCCTTGCCCCAAGTGAAATAAGGCTAATCTAAAATCTTATCAGGTGTCTGTGTCTTTTATGGATTATAATAGCAGGTTAGGTATTACTTCCCTAATGATTATAGGATTAATAATAAACATTAGACCATATATTTAAATTATCTACAACACACTTAAACGATTTATAGATTATTTTATAGTTTAATGTTGGTAAATGGAAAATAATTGAAATAGATATTTCCTTTTAGAAAAACAAGGTTCTAAAATTATAGACTTGTGTATTTGCTGAAATTGAATACAGAGGCATGCCCTGTCCCCATTTGTTCTTACCTAAGTGTCATTTTTATCTCTTGTTAAACTTTGATAAGGGATGGAAACATAGCACTTGGTTGATCTGCTTCAAAATGGAAGGTCAACGATTTGATCCCATTTAAATAATTTTGCTTCTTGTTTATAGTATAGGGAAGCTTGTGGTAAAGTGAAGGTACTTCTCACTTTCTCCCCTAAATTCTTTTCCAAAAATGTTTGAAGGTAACAAAGAAGGATATTTCACGGCTATACTGTTGAAGAAAGGAAGAGCAAAATTTAAAAGTCAAGAGATTGTTCCTTTTCCAAATACCAAAATGATGAGAAACCTTCTGTGTGTGAATGTAAGTTTGCATTTGAGATGTTTTAGTTGTTTTTGAAGGAATTTCCTTTACAGATAAATTTGTTCTTCATGTAGATACTGTTTGTGTGTGCATGTGCGAGCACTGCCTGCATTGGCCTTTTGGGACTCAATTCTCTCCTTTTACCGTAGGTTCCAGGGATCAAACTTAGGTTGTCTTGTCAGTGACTCTGACCAGCTGAGTTATATCACTTGGACAGTTCTTTAAATCTTTTTTGTCTGTCTGTAAGTGTGGGTCTGGAGGTCAGAAGACAACTTCTGAGAATGTTTGGATTGTTTTTGTTTTTCTGACCAGTGAGGTTCTGTGCATTGATCTCAGTCAGGCTTATGAAGCAAGTGATTTACCCTATTAAAGTTGAATTCTTAACTGATTAGATGTTTTCTTAAGAATATGGCAACATTTGACTAAGAACATTTTTCAAGTAATTTGTTTATAGCAATGAGAAAAACAACCTAGCTCTAAGGAAAACACTAACACTTCGGCTTGCAGTGGTGGGAAGGCATGGTAGTGGGTGTGTGAAGCAGCTAGTCCCGTAGGGTCTGGAGTTAGGAATGAGGTGAATGTGGCGCTCTGCTTGCTTTCTCTTTTTTTCTCCTTTTTAGTCAGTGCGTGAATGCACCCTGTGGAAATAGAAACACCCTTAACATACTTTTACAAGTTGCAGCAAGGGTAAACCTAAGGGTGTGAATGAGTTTGACAAAAGCAACCTTCAAAAGAAGGGTTTATTTTGGCTTATAGGTAGAGAGCAATGATGTCATGATGAGAAGGCAGGACAGCTAGTCTGGTGACTGCTAATGTTCAGCTTGCTATCCCTTTTATTTCAGTTTGGGGCCCTGGGTCACATTGGGATCTCTTACGTTTATGTTGTCCCACCTTAAGTAACCTCCGCTGGAATCTCCGTCAGACACTCCCAGGGATTTGTCTTCTAGGTAGTGGTAGATTGTGAGTGTGGAGAGGTAGTAGAGTATGACAGAAGGTGAGAAGTAGGCAGGGTCCAGATTATAGGTTTGAAGAATTGGATGATTCTGCAGGCACTCTTAGCACATTCTACTAGGAGTATCTTAATTGCAAATGATAAATTCAGGTAACTGATTATTTTTTTGAATATCTGGAGCAATAAATAAGGATTATCTATTTTTGCAAGTAATCCTGCCTTCAAGGAAGGGGAAAGTAGCTGGTTTTGTTTGTTTGTTTTTGTTTTTGTTTTTTCCAGTTTGGGACCTTTTATATTAGTCTGGTTAGCTTTTACTAGGATTCTAGAAAGTCATTAGCCATTGATGGCCTGGAGCTAACTGGAGAAGGGGCATGGCACAGTGGAGGTATAACTATTGCTTCAAAATAGTTGTCATGGGTGGGGTTGGCACCTTGTGCTTTTCATCTAGGAATAACCCTGACTGGTTACAGTAGAGTAAATACATTCCACTTGACTAGTCTACTATTGGAGTCTTTTACTAGTACTAGTGGTCAGTGGCCAGTTCAATTGCAATTATCTTGTTGTAGGTGAGTTTGGGTGGAAATGAATTTTGCCTTATGACATCTCATTTGGAGAGCACCAGAGAACATTCTGCGGAGAGAATAAATCAATTAAGAATGGTTTTTCAAAAAATGCAAGAGACTCCAGATTCAACTACTGTTATATTTGCAGGAGATACAAATTTAAGAGATCAAGAAGTAAGTAATAGTTGGTTCACTGTTTATGAGATTATTGCTATGGAAAATAATTTGGATTCCTTTTATCAAAGTCATGGACTTGGAAATACAAGGTAGAAAAAAAGCTGTAGCTTTTGTATAAAATATCAGGAAAAGAGGCCCTTACGCTATTAGGTGGAACAGACAATATAAAACAATATGTGTATGATAAACAACAAGTATTAGAATAAGATAATACAGTTTTTAAAAAGACTAAGGGTATTTGTAGCATCCCTAGGTACAAAAAAACCTAGTCCTTTAATGAGTTGAATCAACTTTTTAAAAAACATTAGTGCCAGACATGTTGGGTCAGGCCCTTAATCCTAGCAGAGCCAGGTGTATCTTTGAGTTCGAGGCCAGCCTGCTCTACAGAGTTCAAGGACAGGCAAGGCTAAACAGAGAAACCCTGTGTGGTGTGGGTGGGGGCACTTTATTTTTGGTGGTTAAACGTAAGGCCTCCTACATGCTAGATAACACTGCTGACCTACATCTCTAGGATTTTGTTAGTTTGTTTGAATTTTCTGTATATTTTAAAAAATTATTACATTTAAATTTTGTATGCATATCCATAGAAGTCAGAACACAAATTGAGATTTGGTCCTCTCCTTCCACCATGTGGATTCCTAGAATAGAACTGAGGTATTCAGACTTGGCAGCAGGGTCCTGTACTGGTTGAGCCATCTCATTGGCCCCAGATTTTTGAGATTGTAATAATTACAAAAGAAATGTAAACTTACTAATGGTTAACAGAATATAGTGTCGTATTTCCTAAACAAAATTTTGCTGGTGTGTCATGTTTTATCACCATTTAACCTGTACTACTGACTGCTGTGGTCAGTTCTAAAGCAAAAAAAAAAAAAAAATCTCTCATAGTTTAGTTTAGACACATTAGGTGTTTTCAGGACCTCAGAAAATTAAATACAAGATTACCATGTGATTTAGCATTTTCTACTTTCAGAAGTAGATCCAGAGTAAAAAGCAAGGACTGGAAAAGGTGTTTGTACATTTGAGTTCTTAGCTTGTTGAATATAAGATCCAAAATATTAGAGTAGCCTTTGCAGTTGAGTTAGAAATATAGATTATATGTCAGTGTGCCAGTGGTGCATGTGTTTAATCCCAGCACTCAGGCAGTGCTAATAATAAAATAGTGTCAGTCTACTAAAGGCCCTGAAATTGTGCGTACAACTGGTTAAAGTGGTTAGGTGTGTATGTGTGTTCTGTCATGTACAATAACTAGTTTTTCCATGTTGGAGATTGAGCCTGGGGTGTTGCTAATACTAATCCTGTATTCAACTGGTATCCTGTAACAACCCACAGCATTTTAAATCATGGAATGTGAATGGGGAAAGAAAACCAATATTGGTAGAGGTTTTTGTTTGGTTTGGTTGGTTGTTTTTCTTACCTTGGGTTTTTTTTGGTTTGGTTTGATTGGGGGGGGGGAGTGGATAATATTTTCCAAAAAAAAAAAAAAAGAAAAATGTTGACTCCCAGGCATAGTGGTGCATGCCTTTAATCCCAGCACTTGGGAGTCAGAGTCAGGTGCATCTCTTGAGTTCAAGACCAGCCTGGTCTATGTAGTGAGTCCAGGAACCCTTTTTAGGAGGTGAGGTTGCACTTACAGATGATAATTTCAAGCACCTTTGTGGGATCCAGAATATATAAACATTAAATAGAATTTTTTTCCCCTCTCTTTTCAGGTTATCAAATGTGGCGGTTTACCCGATAATGTTTTTGATGCCTGGGAATTTTTGGGCAAACCTAAACATTGCCAGTATACATGGGATACAAGAATAAATAACAATCTCAGGATTTCTGCTGCTTATAAGCATCGTTTTGATCGAATATTTTTCAGAGCAGAAGAGGGCCATCTTACTCCCCAAAATTTAAGCCTTGTTGGGGTGGAAAAACTGGAATGTGGTAGATTTCCTAGTGATCACTGGGGTCTCCTGTGCAACTTGAACATAGTGTTGTAAAAAGCTTCCCAAATTTGGGCATTACATGCTTGTTTGCTGTAGTTCTGGATTTGTACAGATCTCAACCTTTCAGGAAAGCTAGGTTTAGTACAGGAGAACTAGTAAAGGAGATCATTAGTACAGCAAAAACAGTTTCATTTTACTTTGTAGCTTTTGTCCTCAAAATTAAGAATTGGTGTTTATAATAAGTCAAAGTATACTTGTGTTAAGAATATGAGGGCTTTTGTTTAAAGAACACAGCCTCAGCTTGTAACAGTGCTCATTGCTGCTATCAGGACTTCAAGTAGTGAAAGCCAGCCTTGACAGTATACTATTGTTTTGATTAGGCACCAAGGTGTCTTATGTTTTCTAAGTTCAGAAACTTAAGTGAAAAGCCATGACCATACGTAGTAAAGTAGGTCACAGCTGCTGCATATCCAACTTAATCTTTTGTCGGCTGACAGTGTATAATGATTAAGTTATGAGTCAAATTTGCACTTTGAATTCCAGTAACTGTTCGATTAGTATTAGTGTTTTGCTGATAAGTGACTTAAAGTTCGTTTTGGCAGAGATTAAACCCAGCTTTAGCAACATGGGAATTTTTTTTTTTTTCTAAGGAAAAGTCATGAAGAAAAATAGCCTTTTTTGTTACTGGTAAGATAGAAATACTTTGCAGGAAGTGAGTAAAGAATACTTTATTGGTAAATGTTCTGTAAAGAATAATGTACTGTAAATAAAATGTTTTGTTAGTAAACTGTTTAATGGGATTTGTTGTTCTGTTGCCATTGGGATAACAGCCCTGTATGCTACTTTTCAGTGGGAATTACCAAGAAGTGTGTGTCTGTGTTATGTCAAATCCCCAAAACTTTGGAGGTCAGGCAGGAGGATTGTCATTCATTAGTTTAAGGCTGCAAAGTTAGACCCTGACAAAAATGGGAAAATTTAGAATGAAGTAACATTTTTATCAGGCATCCCCAGAATTAAATCACCTTAAAATTAGTTTTTGAACTTAAAGTATTCCCTTCACACTGACTAAGAAAAACACAGTAAATTTCCATCTTACTCATAATTTTAAAGATTAAAGTTTGACAGTCTGGAGAAGTTCAGCTCAGCAGTTAAGAACATTGCTCTAGTAGAGGACCAGAATTCAATTCCCTGCACCCACGTAACAGCTCACAACTATCTGAAAAGCCTGTCCATGCAGACAACATCAAAGCACATAAACTAAAAGAAAAAAGTAGAAGTTAAAGCTTGAAAGCAGTGTAATGACACATTTTAGTAGTGGAGGATGGTGCTTACTCAGAATTAAACCTAAAAGATCCCAGTATGTCATTTTGCAAGAAGTTTGAAATGGGTTACTATCACAGTATGAAATGTGTGATGTTTTGTGCTGTTAGACCATCAAATGTTATAAAAATATGAAAGTATAATTTTGCTTATGTGTCTACATGAAATTGTTTTTCTCCTAAGAGTGTAAGCCATAAACCAGGAGGAGGAGAACAGTAAGCCACTGTAGTCTGTAATGGGCAGTCATTTCCATCTTTGTCAAAGACTCCATGCCTCCTTCACTGCCTGCACCTTTCATTTGTCAATTAAAAGTGTACCATGACAGAAGAGAGAAGGAAATCTCTTCAGTGAGATTGATTTTTTTTCCTTTTTAGTCCATATTTGTTTTTATTCTCAGTACTATATTTTGGTTTTTGAGACAATTTCTCTGTAACCTTGGCTGTCCTGGAACTCCCTTATTAGACCATGTTGACTTTGAACAACTCAGCGATCCAGCTGCCTCTGCAAACCTACGGCTGGGATTGAAGGCTTAGGCCCTTTCTCAGTTTTACAGCTCACTCTCCCCATCTGGAAGATTCATTATCCATTAGTTCCGATGTTCATCCTATATTGTTACTTTTAAATGTATGTTGATAAGTACACATGTGGCGGCAAGAGGGCAATTTGTAGTTAACATTTTTTATGTGGATCTTCAAGGGATCTAATTTAGGTCATCAGGCTTGGTAAAGTGAGCCACTTCACTGGCTGAGCCATCTCAACGTCCCTCCTAAAAGTCTCACTAAGTATCCTTGGCTGGTCTAGAACTTGCTAGATGCACCAGGACAGCTTCAAACTCGGTGATGATCCTGACTGTCTCACTGAATTTGGCATTTATTTTAATAATTTTTTTTTTATTTTATGTGCTCAGGGAGGCAGAGGCAGGCGGACCTTTGCAAGTTTGTGGACAGCCTGGTCTACAAAGCGAGCCAGGAGAAAAAACAAAACAAACAAACAAAAACAAAAAAAAACACAAAAAGCCAGAGTTACATATGGGGGCGGGGAGATTGCAAAAGACTCAGCTGAAAAGGAGACTTTGAATAGCGAGTGACTTGACTTGGAGGAGTGAGCCAGGCAGTGCGTGCTGCCCGGGCGGAGCATTTTTCTATAAGACCTGTCCATCCCCTCAGCATTTTGGAAACCATGGCCGAGAAGAGGTGGGCTAGCGACCAGGGGGAAAAGAGGCCCCCTGTTTAGCCCGGCAGCGCGGGCTGCAGGCTGCACCACAGGCCATCCCTAGGGGCGTGTGTGCGCGTGCGTAGCCCTGGTAACCCGGGAGGCGGAAAGGCGCTGAATCACCAGCGCCCGCAAGCAGCGTCAGTGCAGCCCGAGGGGCGGGCAGGTGTCGCCTGCAGGTGTGCCTCGCAGGTGTCCCGACTGAACACCAGTTTCTGGGCCGTCGGGAGCACCGTTGAGCATCAAGGAGCCTGGAGATCTCTGAGGATGGAGGTAAGAGCTGCACTCTGCCGCTGGCGTTCCGGATTTGATCGATGCGTTCTCAGCAGGGTGGAGTCAGGGAGACTTGGGTGTCTAACAGACCTCAAACCTAAGAATCTGTTTCTTTAAAGTTCATTAAGGGCTGGCATTTGCTAAATACATTTTCTATCTGCTCCGTGCGGTAATCATAAGCTTTCAATCTGAACTCCAGGTCCCCAGATTTCTAGCTAGGGTCTAGTTGGGGTTTGGCGTTACCTCTGCCTAAGGATGAGGGGTGAATGTGTTTTTGAGGCTGGGCGGTGGGGTGTGTTGAGTGAAGCTCCGGTGAGCCAGCAGTGTCCAGCTTCAGTGTCCCCAGCAGCCACCTCAGGTGCAGAATCCCTCTCCCAGCCCAGCTGGCCAAGTGACAGCAAGCAGATAGGTGCTGCCAGTGAAAAACAACCAAGAGGTGGACTTCTAAGGGTTCCTCTGGACACCTAAGGAAAAGCAATCCTAGATGGTTGAATGATTTAATGGTTTCCTGTATGGTGGAGGCGGGAGATTTGGGGATATTTCCAATCTCTCAAATTGCATGTCTTAGACATGAATTGTTAGCTTTAAATTTCGTTTAGTGCTATTGACGTGGTCCTTGCTACCAATTTGCCAAATACATTTATCTTCTTACTGTCATCTAAAGTTTAACACTGTTTAAAGGCTTTCTTTCCTGCTCTTTGAATTCCCTCCAAGGAATGGCACAGATTTATCGGGAGCACAAAGCTGGAATCGTTAGTCATCATTCGCAACAACACCATTTGTTCTCATAATTGTATGAAGGGAGAAGGCAGTGTGCTCATATTCATGCTCATGTTTATTGCTAGCTTTCCTGAATATTTTTGTTTGTGAGTTAGATGTTGGTATTTTTTCCAGTGCTTGAATAGAAAGTTGAATGATATTTTTGTTAATAACAGAAAATTTATAAATCACATTTCCTAAAAAACACAAGAATCTTTGAAGTGAATGTGTGTTACTTCATTCCTAAAATGCATTGTACCTGGGAAAATTCTTCAGTGAGATGACTTAAGTTATGCCACATGGAACTTTTTATTTTGTGCTCATGATTTTACTTAGTTCTAATGCAGAAGGGGTGAAGTGGAGATATCAATTCTGTTCTAAACTTAGAACTCAAAGAGAAAGATGAATTTTCTGCAAACCGAAAAGGCTATATAAAAAACATGTAGCAGGAATTTTTAGAAACACAGGTGACAGGCACACACATCACATCTTTGCTGTGTAAAATGCCAAGGCAGGGGGTGCATTTCCTTCCAGAAAAATACAAACAATTCAGCTAACATCCCCACAAATTAGAAAGAGGAAGGAGAGCATCAGTGAGTTATAAAAAATGCATATGTTTAAGGGTTTGTTTTCTGTTGACTTAAGCACCTTCCCCAAAACAGAAATTTTGTTTTTTAAGTAAATCTGTAGCAGTAGGGATTTCGGGGGGTGGGGGGAGGAATCAGAGTTGAATGACATAGATGCCTTGATGAAAAAGATGGACTGCTTAGGGTTGTGGTTTGGCTGTTAGTGGCAACCTCACATTAAAGAAACTCTATAACCTCTACACCTGACTTTCCAATCTGTAGAATATAGAAAATGGTAAGACCTTCTTAGTGGAATTTCTCTAAAAATAAAAAAAATTAAAAAAAAAATGGGCTGGAGGGATGGCTCAGCCACTAAAGACTAGGCTCACAACCCAAAGTATAAGAATCAAAATATTACAATAGAACTCCCACATGCTGAGCTGCAAGGATTGCTCAAACTCCAAGTGTTGGAGGCCAGCTTTGGAAACACAGAGGGAGGCTGTTGCCTTTTGCTTTTAATAAATGCTTTTATTTTTTATTTGTGTGTCTGTCTTCCACATATGGAACTTCAACCACCAGAGCTTCCTGACATAGGTGCTGGGACCCAAGTGCTTTTTTTAAAAAACACTTTTTTTTTTTTTTTTATAGCCCTGGCTGTCCTCAATCAGGGTTGCCTCAAACTCAGAGATCCTCCTGTTTCTGCTTCCCCAGTACTGGGATTAAAGACATACCTCAGGCAGGATGATGGAGGTCATCTTTCCCTAATCTGTCAACTCCAGGTCAGTTTGGTTTATCTGAGATCCTGTCTCAAAAAGAAGTAAACAACAAAACTTTAAATAAATGTTGTATTTTGTAAAGATTTAAAAAATGTATTTATGTGACTCTGTGGATGCTATCCTCATCTGGGTACCCACAGAGACCAGAAGAGGTTGCTAGATCTCTTGGAGATGGAATTACAGGTGATTGTGAGCTGCCTTGGGTGAGTCCTGGGAACCAAACTGGTCGTTCTCTGGAGGAGCAGCAAGTGCTCTTAGCTCCTGAGCCACCTCTCCAGTCCAATAAAAGTTATTTCTGAGATAAGGGTGTTCAGGGAAATTTTCATTTCTTCAAAATAATATGGCACTAAAAGAAGGATTATTTTAAGGTGGCCAAAACTTTTTTTCTGATGTTTAAACTTTTTTCATTAGAAATATCAGAAAATTCATACATCTTCCCTTATAACTTTTTTCTTGTTTTTTTGAGACAGAGTTTCTCTATGTAGCCTTTGGCTGTTCTGGACTTGCTTTGTAGACCAGGCTGGCCTCGAACTCACAGAGATCCGTCTGTCTCTGCCTCCCTGAATGCTGGGATTACAGGCTTGGGTCACCATGCCTGGCCCCTTGTAACATGTTTATAAAACAATATGTATATCTGATAAGATCTAACAGCATGCCAACTTAATACCCAGTTAATTATATTTAATATTCCAAGAAAGGAAATTTATTTCAATAGGCATGAAATAACTGATGGGTTATTGTTCTTTTTCCTTAAAAAAAAAAAAATGCTACACGACAGCCAAGACTCCAGAGACTCTGTCTCAAAAAAAAAAAAAAATACACATAACACAAATATCATCCATTAGTGCACTGTCCTTATCATCACACTTCATAAAATGAGTTTAAATTCCAAATGCATTTTGAAAGGATCAGATTCACACTGTATCACCTGCTCAGAATATAGTAGACTGGGCATTTTTCTCTTCTGCCAATTCTGGGAAATTTTTGGCTCTTGTGTTAATTTTTTTTTCTATCAGCTTTGTTGAAGTATAGTTCACTAATAAAAACTGAGCTAAGCATGACTGATAAATATCTGTAATTTCAGCACTTGGAGGAGGGAGGCAGGGGGATCTGGAATTCAAGGTCATCCTTGAATGTGTAGTAAGTTTGAAATTAATCTGCACTGTATGATACCCTGTCCAAGCACACACACACACACACACAACCAAAACGACACACCCAACAACAAAACCCTACCACCAGGGCCAGCAACATGACTTAGTAGGTAAAGGTACCTCCCACAAAACCTGATAACCTGAGTCTTTTCCCAGGGTCCCCTATGACAGGAAGAGAACGGGGCCCCGTGCATTTACTCTCTCACATACATACAAATATATACCCATGTGACCATGGATATATGGAAATGTAAATATATAGTGGTTTCACACTCTAGCTAATTGATCTGTCATCTCATATACTTACCTATTTTTGTGTGATTAAAAACAATTAAGATTTTTTTCTTTTAACAAATATACAATATAATACAGGATTTTAAAGCATAGTCACATCACAGTTCCGTGTGCTAGATCCTAACAACTTAGTCATCTTGTTACCAGTAAGCAGCCGGGGTCCTTTTGCTCTACCTAGCAGCCATGTATAAAGGCAGTATTGCTCTTCTGGTGTCAGTAGTTCCGGATCCTCAAGCGTCCAGTGCCAACCCAGAGGCTTCCAATTCCAAGCCCTAACCGGCAGGGGCCTATTGCACCTGACTTTAGAAGCCAGAGACTTAGGATTCCAGGCATTTGGGGTTGGAGGCTAGGACTGGCTCTTCTACCTGCAGCCTAACATGTGGCTGTAAACCTTCCTTTCCAGCAGTGGCTGTGCCCGCTCAGATTACAGCTGCTGGGAAAGCCTTGGGGGTTGGGACCTCAGGTCTTACCGTTTCTACTGTGACAGGTTTTGGGCCTAGGCAGGAGTCTTGGACAGCAGCTGTAGTTATAGCTCCTAGGAGTAAAATATCACAGATTTTTTTTCACCCATTATTTGGCAGCTTCCTAGGACTCTTCCAGAGATTGGGCCATTGTTTTTTTAACCCCTGGCTCTTCTGCTCCCAATGTTTATGCCCCTGGCAGGTTCCTGGAACACTCTAGCTGCCTTCTTGCCACTACCACCGCTGCTGCCACCATTGCTGCCAGCTACTGCCTTTGCCACTATATAATTGCCACTGATACCATCTTCTGTTACCAGCTCAACCTGCTCTACTAATGAGGAAGACTGAAGGTTGGCAAGAAAGGCTAGAGCAATGGCTCAGCACTTACGACCATATAACTGCTTCTGCTGAAGACTTGAGTTCAGTTTCCAGTACTCCTGTCTGGTGGCTCACAATTGCTTGTAACTCCAGCTCCCGAGGACTCATTGCCCTATTTTGGCCTTCATGGGCACCACACACACATGCTCACATCCACACACAGATATAGCCTGTGCTAGTTAGATTTTTAATTTTTTAAATTAAAAATTTAAATGTATTGCCAGTTTACTTGAAAAAACAGATGAAATCTTACCAAAAAAAAGTCCCTTTTCAATTAAAATTAATCAGCTCTCTTGGTTAATATCTGAAAAATTTTATGAAAAAAATTCTGAGAACATGAGTTGGAGGAGGGAGTTCATGGTTGGAGTAGTTAGCGTTTTGCTTCAGCAATAAACAGCTATAATTGCTTTGCAGCTTCCTCGAGGTGTCTCTGGAGTCTTCAGAGCAGTGGGTAGCCATAAAGCTAACACAAATGTCTACCAAGAGAACCTGCTTGGCTAATACTACTCCACTCAAGACTGCCAGGTACAAGTGAAATGGCAAGAATTTGTTGTTGTTGTTGTTTCATTTTTGTTTGTTGGTTAGTTTCAAGACAGGGTTTCTCTATGTAGCCTTGGCTGTCCTGAACTCACTTGGTGAGGCTAGCCTCCAACTCACAGAGATCTGCCTGCCTCTGCCTCCCAGAGTGCTGAAATTAAAGGTATACTCCACCCCTGGCTAAATATCAGGTTCTTAACAGTGTCACTCACAGAAATCATTAAAAGAGTGTTTGTGGTTGGGAATATCGATGTAAGCCTTTAATCCCAGTACCAAGGATGCAAAGTCAGGCGGATCTCTGTGAGTTTGAGGTCATCCTGTTCTGCATAGCAGGGCAGAGATACACAATAAGACCCTGGGGGTGGGCTACATTCACCATAAATGTTAGGCCAACAATTCTAATCACAGTGAGCAAAAGGCAACCGTCTTTAACAGTATTTAATGGGACTTTCCTCCCGCTCCAGAATCATAGGGAGAACTGAGTCCCTCCAAGCTCTCCCTCTTATCTCTTGGGGTGCTCTTTTTGTACACAGTGTGAAGGCTGAAATGTGATGTCTGTACTAGCAGAGATCTGATTACAGACACAGACACACACACAGACATACACAGACACACACACACACACCCCTGGCTCCATCGTATTTTGTAAACACTCCCTCCAACATCTTCTGATTGGTTTACTAAAAAGATGAATGGCTTATAGCAAAGGCAGGAAAAGAAGGTGGGACTGCGGGATGAGATAGGAACTCTGGGAAAGAGAGGTGCAGAGGGGCGCCAGCCAGAAGTGAATAAACAGGGCCAGGACTAAGACTGAGAGGTAACGGGCCACGTGGCAGAATGAAGATTAATATAAAGGGGTGAATCTAAGAGCTAGTTGGGGAACAAGCCTACACTAAGGCCTGGCTTACAGAATAACTATAAAAGGTCTCCGAGTCATTGAGAGCTGGAGTCCCAGAAAGTCCCCTCATAATTGGCCCCAAACAGTTATAGTTCATATATCTCATTTTTTACCTCTTCCAAATTCTTATAAATTCTATCAGTAAATATATATTGAGCTGTTTGTTACTTTGTGGTTCTTCTTCTTATTATTTTTCTAACTTTATTTCTTTGAGTTGCATTTTGGATTATTACAATGGATATAATGTCCACGTTATATTGTCTCACATTTTTGGCTCAGATCAAGTATAGATATAGTTTCTATTCTGAAATTCAATGGTTGGGTTGCCTGCTTGTTTTGTTCTTTGTTCTTTAAAGTTTTATTACTTAAAGATTTTTAAAGATTTAATAGTGTATGTTTGTGTGTTTAGATGTGTCGATGCCTATGGAGGCCAGAAGAGGGCATTTTGTCCCTTGGAGCTGTAGTGGTTGTGAGCTTGCCCAGTACAGATGCTGGGAACCAAACCTGAGTCCTCTGCAAGAGCAGCAAGCATTCTTAACTCCTAAACTCTCTCTCCAATTCCCACAAAAAGGCTTACTATATATACCTGTGCTACACTCAGTGTGAAGATAGTTCTAAATTAGCTCCTTACTGAGTTCCCAAAACAACGGTCTAGTAATGAACATACCTTGGCAGGCTGCCTATTTGTTCCCAATCTTGTAATTTGTGGATCTGTTTTTTTTTCTAGTTCCTAGTAACAGGACTCATTACTCCTTCTTAGCCTGCAGTGATGTTTATGAGACTTTTCATAATATTTTACAATGTCAGTCACAGTCCACCCCCTTGCCTGCTGTGTATTAGTTTGGTGTTGCAGTGGAATACATTATTATAAAAATAGTGACTTAAAACATCACACGTTTGTTAGGCTTTATGAGAGTCTCACAAATTCTAGACTCAAATCAAGACTCAGATCAAGTTTCTATTGCTGTGTGTATGTTTTCTGGGATAATAGGGAGGGCAACAACACTCCAAAATTGCAATTTTATACAAGTTCAGCTTAGTGAAGCAATGAGTTCATTGGAATTACTTGCAGTAGCAACTCCACCACAAAAAACAAAAACAAAAACAAAAAAAAAAAAAAACAGCATGGCTGGATCATTCACAAAACTATAACATGGAGTATCTTGAGACACTTGCAGGCAGCTACACCACTAAAGAGTCTTCGCTGTTACTTTTCTTTCATACCCTAAGGGAGGGGCCTTATGATCCTTTAATTTTCATGGGCCTGAGGGTGCTTTTCTCCTGCCACCATCCAGTGAGGGAATGATTCAGTCCAGACCTAACAGCTACCCAACAGCTTGCATTCTCATCGAGGCTCTAGGGAAGAACCTGCACGCAAGCTCACACTGGCGGCTGCAGAATTCAGTTCTTTAAGTTTGTAGGGTTTATGTCTGCATGGATTAGAGGCATTAGGAATAAACTCCAAGTCACCAATAATTCATTGATGTTGCATTAAGGTCAGAAATTTTAAAAAACCTACCCTTGGTGTCATTTAACTAAGAAGGCCCAGATGTGAATTGTCTAGACTCTGTCTTCTCCTCCTGTTTGTCTGTTGCATCAACATGAACTTGTGCCTGAGTGAAGGCTGTGTTGTGAATCGTCTGTGTCTGTGTATGACTGTGTCTGTTCTTTACAAAGGGCTATGCTCTGTATGTATATATTAGTTTTTTGTTTGTTTGTTTTATTTTGAGACATGGCCTCTTTATTATTTAGCTCCAACTGTCCTGGAACTCGCTGTGTAGATCAGACTGGCCTCAAACTCACAGAGATCCACCTTCCTCTCCCTCCCAAGTGCTGCCACGTCTATTCCTGGACAGGGACACAGAAGTAAATTTCTCTTTGTCCTTTCATCCAGGCTTCTGGAAAAGTCTTGGGTTGATCTGGCTCCCCGTGGTGTCCTGCATGGCAGCTGTGGCACATTTCTCTTGCTCTAGTTCCCACTCTGAGTAATAGCAACTCCTGTTCTTTCTGTTTGCTGAATTCGTCTGTAGTGCCCACCTTCCATTCTACCCACAAGCAGATCCTGCAGATCACCTGAGCCACCTCTCCAGCCCTTATATAAGTCCTGTGTCTTTTGACACAGAGTTTCTTATACCCCAGGCTGGTCTTGAACTTGTGATCATCCTGCTTCTGCCTCTGCTTCCTGAGTGCTAGGATTAACATTTCAGTCTGTAAGAGATCATATGGTAGTGATCAAATGGATGATATCAGGATTCCGTGTCTGCTACTTTAAAAAATTAATTAGTAGATGGCTAAAATTTTGGTTTTAATATATCTGAAATTTCAATAAGGCAACTTTATTCACTTTATTTCTACTATGACTGTATGCAAACCCAAACAGTTTAACCCATAAACAAACAACAACAATAACAGAATCAAGAAAAAGGAATTGAGAGATGGAGAAAGAGGAATAGAGAGAAGGAAAGAAATGCAGAAAGAAAGCAAAGAGGAGAAGGGAGGGAATTGAAGTTACCGATGATTGTGAGTCAACATGAAAGTGCTGGGAAATGAACCCAGGTCCTCTACAAGAGTGGCCAGTGCCTAGCAGTGAGGAACACCTGTAATCCCAGCACTCAGGAGGCAGAGACAGGCTGATCTCTGTGAGTTCAAGGCCAGCCTGATCTACAGCATGAGTTCCAGGAAATCCAGAACTACCCAGAGAAAGCCTGTCTCAAAAAACCAAAGGAAAAAGATAGAAATAGAGTTGTAAGTGGTTATTAATATTTACTATTGGTTTATCTTCTTGTAAAGCTTGCTGTTAACCTTAAAACACCTGTATAATCAAATCACCACACCGAGACTGGGTTTTTAGTTAACCTAGAACACAGTGCTGGGCAATATTTAACTCCCTCCTAAACCTCCAAGCCCTCAGTTTCCTAACATTTAGATTTCCCACATTATACTTGCTTTTTGTGAAATCTTAAGTCTGGTTCATGCTCCACATCCTCCAAGATCTCTCCTCCAGCTCTGCTCTCCTCCCTCTCCTCTCACCCCTTCTCCTCCTTCTCCTCCCACTCCTTTCCTGCTCTCTAGCTCCTCCCCTCTTTCCTGTCGTCTGGCTCCTCCCATTGTACAACATTGTATCTAGTTGCTTTATTTTGTCCTGTTTACACAAGAGTTGAGACAGGATGTTTATAATGAGTATCACAATGCAATATCTGGATTGAAACCAGAGAGTTGGGGGTAGGGAAATCAGCATTTGAATTAACAAGGGTAAGGTGTATACATTTTAAAAGAACATTATACCAACATAGAGTGTCTAGTTGTTTGGGGCTGGAGAGATAGCTCAGTGGTTAAGTAGTACTGGCTGCTCTTCCAGAGGAGCTGGGTTCAACTCCCAACAGCAACATGGCAGTTCACAACTGTCTGTAACTCCGGTTCAGAGGGATCCAACACTGTCTCAGAGACAAGCATGCAGTCAAAATACCACTGTACGTCAAAAAAAATATATATATATAAAAAGAGTGGCAAGTGCAAGCTGGGCAGTGGTGATGCAGGCCTTTAATCCCAGAATTTGGGAGGCAGAGGCAAGCAGATCTCTCTGAGTTCAAGGCCAGCCCGGTCTACAAAGTGAGTCCAGAACAGCCAAGGCTACACAGAAAAACCCTGAGAGTGGCAAGTGCTATTAACCAATGAAACCCCTGCCCTGTGTCCAGCTTTTTATGTGGGTGCTAGGGACTTGAACTCAGATCCTTGTGTTTTCGCAGCAAGCACTCTTGCCCACTGAGCCATCTCCCCAGCCAAGGCTTAGATAACTCTCTTGAATCTTACTTACATCATATATAGGGCAGAGATAATAATACTGTCTTGGTGGTTGTTATGATCACACTGAGAAAATTTCTAGGAAAACTTGTGCCAACATTACTATATTGCACCAAACCGCAAACACCGATGACAAAGTACACTGTTATTTTAAATAACACTAAGGAAGAACACACTCTCCACAAGGCACATTCCCATCTGATCACTTAGCACAAGCCTTATTAATCTTTTTTCCACTATGATCCCCTTTTACCCAAGAAATTTTTGTGTGACTCTGGACATATAGAGATACAGAATAGGCATACAAACTAAACAGTTATAGCAAGTCACAAAGAAATTTATTTTAAAGCAACTCTTATGGCTTTGTTTGTTATACAGACAATTTTACCATTTATGAAGATGAAAGATGTTTTCCACATGAACTAAATGGATGTGCTTGTCCATCTTAACACAATTCAATTAAAAATGCTAATTTGGGAAAAATAATTTGTTGCCTACCTCCTGGGGAATGATGGCGGGAAAATACTGAAGTCTTTGTTTTTTCATAATTATGCCATTTTATTATATATAAGTAGAAAAGTTTGCACCCTCAGTAAAGCCAGTACAGCTTATAACATGCGGAAGTTTCCGATCTGACCTATTTCAGACAAGCATTTGTTTGACTCACTTGGCGTGATGGCATTTGCAGTGCAAAGTGCACATGTCGTATGCTCAGGGCCAAGACTTCAGTGAGGCCTGTGATGCCACACAGGTGGGCACCGCCAGAAGCACCTTGGATTTGTTACACAGCTGGATGGACTTGGTTTTGGTTTTGGGTGTTCAGAAACTTTCTACTGTCACCAAGTTTATCACTTCCTCCAGATTCAGTTACCATCACTCATACGGGTCATGAGCCACAGTTTAAGCTTTCATTTAGAAAAAAATTTAAGAGGGTTTATTTAGAAATAAGTATCTTGAATCATCAGTCATCCTTGTGAACACATAAAGAAAGATGACAGTAACATAAGTGAGGTTTCCCTAGCCAGGCATGGTGGCTTGCCTGGAGTCCCAGCTACCCAGGAGGCTTAGGCAGGACCGCTGTTGCTTGATCCTAGGAGTTCAAGGCCAGCCCAGGCAACACATCCTCCATATAATAATAACAGCAACAATTTTTCTTTCAATTTTAATTTCTGCTGAGGAACTTCCCTGCTCAGTTACTGGTGTCTGTGGGCTTTCCACACAGTGTGCCTTTGTTCTGCTACACACTGTGAAGGATGCAGTATTTCTTAAGAGTTCTTTTTCTTTCTGAGTTTGTTTATGGTGTCAGGGATTGAGTTTAGGGCTTTGTACATACTAAGCCCATGCTGTATCACCGAGCCACACTGCAGGCCCCTTCTCGTTGTTGGATTTCATTCTCTCCTGACTCTGACACTTATTCTGTGTGGCGGATGCTCACATCAGAGCTCCTCTACCCTTTGTCCATCTGAGATTATAAGAAACCCTGATGTCAGAGGTGGTAAAACAAAACATAATTCTAATTTATAGATTTTATTGCTACCATGAAACACCATGACCTAAAAGCAAGTTGGAGAGGAGAAGGTTTATTTGACCTACACTTCCATATCACTGTTCATCACTGAAGGAAGTCAGGATAGGAAATCAAACAGGGCAGGAACCTGGAGGCAGGAGCTGATGCATAGGCCATGGAGGGGTGCTGCTTACTGACTGGCTTCTCACAGCTTCCTCAGCCCGCTTTCTTATAGAACCCAAGACCACCAGCCCAGGAGTGGTACCACCCACAATAACCTGGGGCCCTTCCTCATCAGTCACTAATTAAGAGAATGCCCCACAAGCTTGCCTACAGCCCAGTCTCATGGAGGCATTTTCTTAATTGAGGCCCCTTCCTCTCGGATGACTCTGGCTTGTGTCAAGTTGACATAAAACTCCAGCACTGTTCTCTAAACTAATCACTGGACGCTCCACTTCTAGTTAGCCAGGGCTGCTTCCCAGGCAAGAGCTGGTGCAGACGCCACGGAGGGTACAGCTTACTGGCTTGCTTCCCATGGCTTTGCTCAGCCTCCCTTCTTATAGGACCCAGGACCACCAGCCCAGGAATGGCACCACCCACAGTGGGCCCACTGATCACTAATTGAGAAAATGCCTTACAGCTGGATCTCATGCAGGCATTTTCTCAACTGAAGCTCCTTCTCCTCGATGACTCTAGGTCAAGCTGACACAAAACCAGCCAGTACCATTGTTTAGTTTTGTTTTGTTTTTTTTGTTTTGGTTGGTTGGTTGGTTGGTTTTCTTTTCTTTCTTTCTTTCTTTCTTTCTTTTTTTTTTTTTTAAGGCAGAGTCTCCTTATTTAGCTCTGACTATCCTGGAACTCACTATATAGATAGACCAGACTGGGCTCGAATTTACAGAGATGTTCCTGCCTTGCCTCTTGAGTGTTGGCATTAAAGGTGTGCTCCACTATGCCTGTTTTTTGGTGGTGGTGGTGGCAGTTTTTTTATTTTTTTTTTATTTTATTTTATTTTTTTTGTTGTTGTTGTTGTTGTTGTTGTTTTCATCTTATCAACTAACTGTCCTGGCTATTTTTTAAAACTTTTTATTCTTTGTAAATTTTACATCATGCACCCAAATCCCACTTATCTCCTCATCCCTTCGTATTCACCATCTGCCCTTACAACCTTCCCCACAAAAGAAAATAAAAATAATAAAAAGAATTTAAAAACCCTCAACCTCCACCCAAAATCAACAAACGAATGAGATCTGATTGTGGAGGCTGCAGTGTGTCACAGTGAGTCCCACAGTACACCCTTTTGTCCACACATCTTTACTTGCAAATGTTCATTGCAATGGATCATTTATCTGGCTTGAGTCCTCTGGCTTCTGTTGCTCTGTCAATACTGGGTCCTCACTGGGACTCCTCTCAGTTATCCTGTTGTTTCCCTTTGTCATGGAGATGCTGCCGCTCTGGATCAGCAGGACAGGCCCCATCATGAGCTCTAGCAGTTCATAGCTGAGGTAGATGTTGGAGTGGGCCAACTCAAAGCTCTGCATGTGGGTTTGGGTGGTAGTTGAGGTCATCATCCTTCCAGCTCTCCAGAACCTACACCACTGGGGGCAAGCTCTCCAGCAGTGCCCTGGCTAGCTCACCCTGTGCTGCAGCTGGCAAGGGGCAGGGCCAGCTTTCCCACCCTCATGCCCTCCGGGTAGGTCACCCGAGCCCATGCCAGCAGGGCCAGTTCTACTGTGCTGTCCAGGTGAGTGTCCTGGATGTTTTAACAAACTTTTCTGGAGAGATGGCTGCTCGGGATCTGGCTCCACTCTGGGAATAGGACAGTTTTCCTGTTATCATGATATGAACACTGAGGGTTGTTTCCACATTTGCCCTTCTTTCTTGTCTCTGTTTTGTTTTCTTTGAAGTTCTAGAGGCCACATCTGGCTCATCAGCCCTCAAAGGGAGCCTGTTTCAAAGCCACCACCTTGGAAGCCTTATCCTGTGGGAGGCAGAATGGTGTCCCCGACAGGAACACTGTCTTCACTGCTGCTGCTGCTGGCTGCCATCACAGGTAGGAAACAGGACATCATTGTTTCCTGGGAGAGTTGAAAAAGTTAGCTCCTGTGGTTTTTGGTGGCCAGGGCCCGACATTAAACGTGATTTTGCTCTGATGCACTTGCTGCAGGGCAGGACACACGTCTTGAAGTGAACGAATGAAAGCACATCTGACCATCTGGGTCGGGAAGGAATTTCTGGTTTGGGTCTTCATATAAGTCAAGGAGAGATGTAATGGTAGCCAAAACCTAAAAACAAAACAAAAATTAAAAAAAATAACAACAACAAAACAAATGGTTTTGAAAGGCTGGGCATTCCTTACCTCTACTTCCCCATCCTCTCATGATCTTCCTAAGAGGCGCTGTTCTGTTGTCTCAACTATAGTAAATTAGTGTTTCCTCCATATCTGAGATCCAGCTCTTCTCTGAAAAAACATTACACCAAACCTGTTCACATGATTTAGAAACTAGATTTGTGTTTGAGAGAATACTACAGCTTTCACATTTTGCTTTTTTAATTGGAAAAGGAAAATGTATAGCATATCTAATTCCTATTACCTTGGATGAAATATTCTTTCCATAGAGCTGAGGTTTGGCATTATGCTGCATTTACTCATTGTGCGTGTGTGTGTGTGTGTGTGTGTTTGTGTGTGTGTGTGTGTGTGTGTGTGTGTGTTTGTGTGTAGGTTGTCTTGGCAGCACAAATCTTTACCTTCTGAGCAATCTTTCTGGCTCTGGCATTGTGTTATGTAACTTCTAATCTACCATGCTAATGAGATACCTGGCATTGTGCTACTAAAAATCTGTTACGGTGATCTTGTGTACGGTAACATCAGGGCGATTCCTATGCATTTCCACATACTTCCTGTTGGAAACAAGCCTGACAGCCCCTCATGTGACTAAAACATTTAGTAAACACTTTCCAATGGTTATCCCTTATTAGGAAGGGAACCCTTGCTGTGGAGGCCTGCTTCTATTGTTCCGTCACAAAAACTAACAGACTACGTGCCATGCGGTATGTGCCAATGCCTGCTGTAGTGACTTTGCAGAAAGATCAATGGTTCGCTACGGAGAATCTGACTAAAACAAGTGGAATATTAGCAGGGCATAGCGGTGCATGCCTCTAATCCCAGCATTTGGGAAGCAGAGGCAGGTGGATCCCTGTGAGTTCCAGGTTAGCTAGGACTACATCTCAAAAACAAACAAACAAGAACCTGATTAGAGATATGTTCTGAGAATAAGTTTTTTTTCCCCCCCGAGACATTTTTGTTGTTGTTGTTCAGACATTATCATCAGATAACCTGTAAGATTTTTAAAAATCTATTAATAACATTAACAAAACAAAGATACAGTAACTAACTAGTTTTTAACATGAGGGCTACTGTAAGTCGCATAAAAAGGAGCTACAGAAAGTAGAGAAGAATGGAATTATATGAAGATATAGAATGTGCAGGTTAAAAGGCACATGAATCGTTGAAAGAATATGTGTGGATAGAAAGGTAGAGGGATAGAAGGATGGACAGATAAGAGGAAGAGCAGAGGAATGATGGATGGGAAGGTAGGTGGCTGTTTGAATGAGTGAAAAATGGATGAATCAGTGGGAAGACAGGCAGGCCCGACTGGATGAGAGGTGTGATGGATGGGTGCATAGCATGATAGACCCTTCTTTAGGGAGTTGATTGCTGGCTGCAGAGCCAGGGATGGAGGAATGTGCATCCATATATAATTTATATTACAGCTTTAGTACAAAACAATGGGCTTTGGGCCAGCAGGTTGAGGGGACGCTTGCTATCAAACCCAGGAACCTAAGCTCATTTCCTGAGATCTACATGGTAGAAGGAAAGAGCCAGATCCCATAGATTGTCTCGTGACTTTCATGGGGGGTGTGTGTGTGTCCTCATTGTGACTTTTCATACATGTATATCACTCTTATGCATCACTTTCCTCTTCCATCCCTCCTCCCAGATTGTGCTCTTCCGTTCATATTATGTATGTATGGATACATTTAAATCTAGATCCTGAGTGTGAGGGAAAGCATGGTGGTCCGCCGGCCTTCCCTGCCATTATCCTCTTTCCCCCTCCTTCCAGAACCTTCCTCCTCCTGTAGTCTCCCTTCTACTCTCACGTCACATGTGGGTGCACATATGCACATATATGTCATATATCTTTAAATCTAGATTCTGCATATGAACTTTGGTTTGATTTGGTTTCCTGAGCCCAGGACCCATGTAGCTCAGCCATGCTGGCCTCCAGATCTCAAGGATAACCTTGAACTCCTGATCCTCCTGCCTCCACCGTCCATCCCCAAAGTGCTGGGCTGCCAGGTGTAGGATGTAACTTGGATATTTCCCCCGAATACTTATTGACCATTTGTGTCTCTCGTTTTGAGAACTGAGCCGTTCCTTTGTCTACCCACCAGCTTGGCTTTTGGTGTTGAAGGTTGGTACCTTTCTGGTCTTCAGGTGGCAGCTCTCAGCAGTGCAGTGACGGGAAGACTTACTCCAACTCCATCATTTCACCTAACCTGGAAACCATTAGAATCACGCGGGTATCGCAGACCTTCTCCGTGGGAGACTGCACGGCCGCCTGCTGTGACCTGCCCAGCTGTGACCTGGCCTGGTGGTTTGAGGGCAGCTGCTATCTGGTGAACTGCGTGCACCAGGAGAACTGCGAGCCCCGGGCCACAGGCGCCATCCGGTCTCACCTCACTTTCGTGCGCAGACCTCTCCTGAGGTCCGAGCAGCAGCTGGACTACGGAGACATGATGCTAGGCAGGGGTTCTCCCTCGGGAGCTTGGGGAGACTCCCTTGAGGACCTCAGGAGGGACTTGCCCTTTCTAGGCAAGGATGGAGGACCGGAAGAGACTGCGGAGTACCCCAATGAATACAAGGAACTGGAGCAGGGCCTCCTGCAACCCTCCAACCAACAGGACCCCAGAAGCAGCGAGGAGTACCCAGACTGGAGCCTGCTGCCCGGCAGCGAGGGAGGTTTTAATGCGTCTGCTGCAGGAGACAGCTCAGCTGCTTCCACAGAGAAGCCGCAGGACCCCACGCCCCACCCAGTGGAGCAGGAGCAGCTGAGGGCCCTGAACGAGTCCACTTGGTCCTCTAGGCCCACTCACTCTGCAGAGAGCAGTGTGCGGCCCCCGCCCGCGACTGCCTTACCTGCAGGAGAGGGGCTGGATGGAGAAGAGACTTTACAGCTCCGAGAACAACCGAGTAATAGCTCTGGAAAAGAGGTGGGTGTGCCGGAGATGTGCTGGGGTGGGCAAGGGAAGGAGCCCTGGGCTAGACTCTTTCAGGCCAGAGAAGCCCAGGTTGGTTTCTCCTAAGGGCACTACTTCAGGCTGAAGCCAGAGGATGAATGTCGGAGCCTTACAAGAAAACGCACATGAGCTTTCCGGCTCATCTACCTAAGAGTGCCTTGAGCCTTCTCCCTAGAGTGAGAAGGACCTTGTGGTGGCTCTCAACCTTCCTTTAATACCCTCATGTGTGGCGAGCCCCAACCATAAAATTATTTTCATTGCTTCTTCGTAAGTGTAATTTGCTATTGTTATTAATTGTAATGCAAATATCTGTGTTTTCGGATGGTCGTAGGCAACCCTTGTGGAAGGGTCATTTGACAGTCCCCCCAAAAGGGTCACTACCCACAGGTTGAGAACCACTTCTCTGTGGCTAATGTTAATGAGACTTCACAGAAGGCCCTGGAACCAGCATGTATGTACACATACACCTACAGGCTTTGACATTTTCCCATAGTAGACATATCTGGAGACTTCCTCTACCACAGCTAGCTAGCTTCACCAGTTCTTTAGGTAGCTAGAAAGTTGCCAAAAACATGGCAAAGTTGATGGGTAGGAAGAGACCAGCAGACCTTTCCCTGAGAAACCCAAGTGGTAAAAGAAGGAGGACTTAACTGCCAAGTCCTCTTGACTACCCAGGAAGTGGAGGCAAAAGAACCATGAGTCCAAAATGTAACTAAAAAGAAAAAAAAAAAAAAAAAAAAAAAAAAGAACCATGAGTCAATGAGGTCCAGGCCAGCAGCCTTAACAGGTGCTGAAACCCAATGTGAAAAAGGAATAGACGTATCACTTGGGGATGGAACATTTGTTCCCAGGACTCTGGGATGACTCTTCAACACTTTAAAAGTGTATAGGGAGGGGGTAGGGGAGGCGAACAAGAATTACTAGGAAAGTAGACATGGTAAAAGTGTTACTGGCTTGGATTCCCACCAGGACAGAACTGCTGGAGAGCTCCAAAGCTACTTGTTTGAGAGACAGCTTGAACTTGAAGAGAATGTAAGCACACAGGGACCCTGATGGTGACCTGAGAGTAGTCAGGAAGACGTGACTTTGGACATGGGGCACTTTCAGAATTTCTATTTTTCTAATTCTTTGCAGGCTGGGTCTCTGGCCTGCCTCTGTCTCCTGGACACTGAGGTTATGAGGTTCTCCTGTTTATGCTGTGCTTAGGTCCGACTCAGGGCCTTGGCCATGCTAGGTGAGCTCTCCACCAACTGAGCCACCGCCCTAGCTCCTTCAAGCATTTTTAGAATAAAAATAGCAGGTAAGATTTTGGACCCTGCTAGCTCCTATGGAGAACGAGATACAGGTAGGAGTATAGGAGAAGGCCAGAGAAACTTGACTTTTGCTGCTTTTGGTTTGGGGTATCATTTTCAAAGCCCCAATAATACATGTAAAAGAGGGGGCTGCAGAGATGGTTCAGAGGTTAAGAGCACTGGCTGCCCTTCCAAAGGTCCTGAGTTCAATTCCCAGCACTGACATGGTGGTTTGTAACCATCTATAATGAGATCTGGTGCCCTCTTGAAGCATGCAGGCCTACATGCAGACAAAACACTGTATACACAATAAACAAATAAAAGCAACACGTGCAAAAAAAAAAGAGTTTTAGTCTTCTTAGTTTATACTTTATAAAAAACAACTCAAAGTGTGCTAAAGACCTAAATGATGAGTTAAGACAATAAAAACATAGCAGTAAGCCTTGATAACTAGGTTTAGATGATGATGATGATGATGATGATGATGATGATGATGATGATTTGGATAGGACATCAAAATTCGGCAAAAATGAAGCTGTACATCTTTAATCCCAGTAATCAGGAGACAGAGGCAGGAGGATCTCTGTAAGTTTGAGACAAGCCTGGTCTACATTGTGAGTTTCAGGACAGCCAAAGCTACCAAGAGAACCCTGTCTCAAAAAAACAAAAATCAAACAAAAAAAGCAAAACAAAAAAACAGTAAAAACGAAGAAAAGAGACAAATTTTATTTCATATGAATTAAAAGCTTTTGCATCCCAAATAACAACATCAAGAAAGAGAAGATAACTCATAGAATGGGATAAAGTATTTGTAAATAATGTGTCATATATCAACATTGTATGCAGAAATACAATTAAGTCTTACAGCTCAGTAATAAGAAACAACCCTGGGGCTGGAGAGGTGGCTCAGAGGTTAAGAGCACTGGCCGCTCTTCCAGGGGTTCTGAGTTGAATTTCCAGGAACCACATGGTGGCTCTATAGTGAGTCAGACTCTATAATGAGATCTGGTGCCCTCTTCTGGGTTGCAGGCCTACATGCAGGCAGAATACTATACACATAATAAATAAACAAATCTTAAAAAAACAAAAACAAAAACGAAAAAAAAAAAAAAAACAAAAACCAAAAACAAAAACCTGATTTAAATTTGGTAAGGAAGCCAGGCCCAGTGGTGCACACCTTTAGTCCCAGCACTCGGGAGGCAGTGGCAGGCAGATCTCTGTGAGTTTAAGGCCAACTTGGTCTACAAAGTTAGTCCAGGACAGCTAAGGCTACACAGAGAAACTCTATCTTGAAAAACCAATTAATAATTAGAAAAATAAAAATTGGGGGCTGAAGAGATGGCTCAGAGGTTAAGAACACTCACTGTTCTTCCAGAGGTCCTGAGTTCAATTCCCAGCAACTACATGGTGGCTCATAAGCATCTATAGTGAGATCTGGTGTGCAGGCAGAATGCTGTATAAATAATAAATAAATCTTTAAAAAATAAAAATTGGTAAAGGATGGGTGGTGGTATGTGCCTGTAATCCCAGCACTCAGGATAAATAAACATGTAAAACAAAAGTTGAATCCAAAGTATAATACCGCCTCATACTTGTTAGGGTGGCTAGAAAAAAGAGATTAAAAAAAAACAAAAACAGAATTGGGGTAGAGAGTAGCCCAGGACCCGTGGCCCTGAGTTTTCAAAGCAGCAGCGGCAGCAGCCGCAGCCACAAAAGCTGGCCTGGGGAAATGTTAGTGGAGATGCTGCAGCGCGCCTATGTGGCTGGTGGGGTGCATATGAGGCAGATGCCCTGGGAAGCTGGCTCGCTGCTCCCCCCGAGCAAGCGCATAAACAGTAATGCATACCATCCCCTAGCATGCGAACCAGCAGCTGCACTGCTGGTGTGCGCTTCAGAGGAATGAACACATCTCTCCCTCCATGCAAAGACTGTTAGCTAGCAGCATTATTCATGCCACAGCAACCCTGACCAGAATATCTAGAGAAAACCAATCACCACCAGACTTGGAGGGGGTGAAGGGCATGTCAGCCCCTCCTTCTTCTCACCCTTCCCCCTCCTCCTCTCTCCTCTTTCTCCTTCTTCTCTCTTTCCCCTCTGTATTCTGTCTCTCTTCCTCCCTCCCTCCCTCCGTCTGTCCCTCCCTCCCTCCCTACTTCCCTCACTCCACACCCCCTTGTTTTGTTTTCTGAGACAGGGTTTCTCTTTGTAGCCTTGGCCGTCCCAGACTCTCTTTGTAGACCATGCTGGCCTCAAACTCACATCGATTCCCCTGTGCTTCCCACCAGCACAGCCTCCCTGAGTACTGGGATTAAAGGTGTTTATTGTCTTGTTGTGTTTGTGTTTTTTTTTTTTTTTCTCTGTTGTCTTGTAATGAAGGCTGATACTATTCATGAGGGTTCTCACCCCCATGGCCTGACCACCTGCTCTGCCTCCCCTCACCTAAAAACCATCTCATAGGATTTAGGAGTTCAGTGCATGAATTTCGAGTGAGTGGGCACAAACAATCCAATGCCCAGATTTTGTATTGTTCAACCCAAATAGACTTTCTTTTTTTCATAACAATATACCCTTGTTAATTTATCCCACAGGTCCTAATGCCTTCCCATAATCCTTCCCCCGCCAGCCTGGAGTCCAGTTCAACCACAGTGGAGAAAAGCTCCATTCTTGCAGTCACTCCATGGAGCACAGAACACAGCACGCCAACATTTCCCACCAGCACAGTTCTCCCTGGGATGACGCCACCTACATGGCCGGTGTCACCTACTACTTCCAGGACAGGTAACTTTTGAAAAATGTAATGAGAAGACATTTACGGAAGAGGCAGAACCTAGCAGTGACAGCGTTTAAGCTTTACTTCCCCCTTTGGCCCCAGCCATGAGAGAGCCACCTAGCAGACGCCGTGCTATGCAACCAGAGTGAAAGATGAATTGCATGCTGTCATTTCCCCCTGTGGCTCTATAGGGCAGGGGAGGAGACTGACAGGTGCAGAGATGATGTGCCTGACACTGTCTGGAAAATGCTGCCAGAGGGTGCTATGACAGCGGGAGGGGTTAGCTGGCCTGCCAGGAGTGCCAGGAGGCCTTTCTGGAGGAGGGACTGGCAGGGTAGGGTGGACCAGCTCACCCAAGGCCGGCCTGTTCTGTAGCAGGACCAACTCACGTTCTAAGTGGAGAGGGTGCCGTGTGTATTTCTGGTTAGTGAACTTTCAGTAAGAACACAAGGCAGCTGTGTCTCTATTCGGGGTGCTCTCAATGGGGAGATAAGGGAACTGCAGAAAGCCTGTCCTGGCGCTGGAAAAGAGAAACATGGTGGGCAGAAGGCTCTGCAGGGTTCTATAGCTTCTAATGCTTCTCTCCATGGGAAAGCACTCATCATCAGAGACCCTCAAAAGCATAAGTGATCTCTTGCATCCTGTGTGCAAGAGAAGACAAGACTCACCACATTTTGGAAGAACCAAAAGGACATAATTTGGTTAGAGCTGGTTCTATGGGTGGAGGGGGCATGATAGAAGGGGATGGAGTATGTAGATTAGGTTCATGGGGGTTGGGGGAGGCCTTAACTAGAGCAGCACCATTCCATGGGTCAGGGACTAGATGGCCTCAGAAAGGAAAAGCAAGCAAGCGGGACACCAGCATTCTTCTCCCTGTGCTCCCTGCCTGCGGACACAGCGTGATCAGCTGCCTCACCCTGCTGCTGCCTTGCACTCCCTGCCTTGATGGAGTGTAGCCTCCCTCAGTATGAGCCAGAACAAACCCATCCTTCCTGGTTTCTCCTGTCAGGTTTTTTTGTTGTTGTTTTGTTTTGTTTTTTCAGCAACAAGAACATTAAATAAAAACTAAAATAAAATAAGACCCATCGTTCAGAAGGTCAGTGGGCATTGATGCTTCCAGTATCAACTTAAATATGAAGGTGGTTGTAGCTTCAGCCCAGTTCAAAGACTGAACTGGAGGTGAGCGTGGACATGCAAGTCTGTAATAGAGCACTTGGGAAACAGAAGCAGGAGGACCAGGAGTTTAAAATCATCTCTGACTACACAGGGAATAAGAGACCAGCCTGAACTGTATGAGATTCTGTCTCAAATGATAATAATAAAATAATGATGCCATCACCACCAACATAATGGTTCAACTACGCTTGAGACCTGACTGGTGTTCGAGGTGCGCCCTGAACCGGAACTACTCAGTTTTGATTCCCTGGTGCTCCTTAACCTTTACTCTGTTGACTCCGATCCTGGATTTCAGTGAAGAGAGGGTGGTGGTGAAAGAGAAGCTGTGTGAGGGAGAGAAGCTTCCCTTGGGATCAAGTTTCGTAGGTATAATGGTGATATGGGAATATTGGGGTGTCTATGAGAACGACACAGCCTTCCACAGCTCTTGGTAAGCTTGGTTTTGGGGGCTAGGATCCCAACTCAACACAAATAGTTTATTCTGAACCAAATATGAATGACAGGGAAACTAATGCCCAATTGAGGCGAACCTCCAAAACCATAGTAGGGCTCTATCGATGCCATACTTTCATACTGAGCTTGCCTGGATTTCCTGTCAGAAAGGCTCCCAGAGCAAGGCCATTAGCAGCCATTTATGTGGAGCTCTCGGATCTGAGCAGCGTGGCTAATGACATTGAGACACTTATGAGCACTCCTGACTTTTTTGTACATAAGGCCCGCTCACCAAGAGTCAGGAAAAGCTGGTTGCAACAGAGAAAACAAACTCAATCAGTAGTCCTCCACCTGTTGGTAAAACTGCGCCCCAATGTATCGCTGGTTCTGAGTGATTTTCTTCACAGTGCCAACTCACATAGGAAGTTTTAAACTTACAAAGTCTATCTGGCAGCGTAACAGAGCACACTGGGTGGGATGCCATAAAATTATCTGAGCAATGACCATTCTAAGAACAGGAATGTCATGGAGATGTCGTTAATAGCACTGTGTTACATAATGGTACCCTCTGTTTCTAATTAACTTTCAGTAAAGACGCTTGCTGTAACTGCCGGAGATAACCTAGTAATAACCTTACCGGACAGTGAAGCAGATCTGAAGGCTTCTGTTGAGCCTGCGCCTCCTGCAGGTGAGAGTTTGACATTGTTGGGGCAGTCTCTCCCTAGGCAGGCCTCCACAGACCATTGGTTTGATGCATTCTTTCCACAGCATTCCACAGTGGGAGATGGCCAAAGTTTACTGAGGTAGCATATTTTTCTAGGAAGTTCAATACAGTAGATGATCTTTAACTGGTCGGGCTGGAAGGTCACAATGTTGTATCAGAGAGGAGAGTTTGCCATGTGCAAGACCTTGGTCTGTGACAACCCACCGAGGCCAGGAAGGTTCCACTGCGAGAAGAGGGGCTTGTTTGCAGATGCTGTAGTATTAGCAGCACAGCTGAGCGGTTTTCAGAACACTCCAGACCAGCTGCTCAGGGACTAGGGAGGTGCCTCGGGGACAAAGTGCTTGCCTCCCAAGCATGAGAAACTGTGTTCAGATCTCCAGAACTGATGGAAAGCCAGTTGTGGTAGGTTGTAGCTCTAATCCCAGCACTCCTGGGGCAAGGTGGGAGGCAGAGGCAGGCTGACTAGCTTGGCTGGTCCAGTGTGAATGGCAAGTGATCCTGTCTCAAACAAGTTGAAGGTAGATGATCAATACCTGAGTCTGTCTTTGACCTCTACACATGTGCCATGGCACACGCACACCTACACTTACACACATCATACAGACGCACGCGCGCACAGAGTACAAACATCACACACAGAGAAAATGCACACCTACATAATTTAAATACAATACCAACGTGACAATGCTTCCCTTCTCCTCACCGAGTGCCCTACTGTTCCAGAGCATCTGAACCATCCGTGCAGCCTGACAGAGCACTATTCCTTAATTAGACTCTTCTTAGAAGTATTTCATTCTCACTCAGGTCCCATAGGTCAAAATTTCATAATCGGAAACATTCATGCCATTTGCATCTCAGTCTTATGAGATACTACACTTCTGTCTAAAGGTTTATTAGTTCATGGCAGCTTTAGTTCAAGATAGAGATGTTTATGAAGAAACCCCTATAGGAGAGATGGCTCAGTGGTGAAGAGCACTGTCTGTTCTTCCAAAGGTCCTGAGTTCAATTCCCAGCAACCACACGGTGACTCATAAGCATCTATACTGGGATCTGATGTCCTCCTCTGGTGAGCAGGTGTATATGCAGATAATGTACTCATATATATATATAACTTAAAAAAAAAAAAAAAAGAAAGAAAGAAACCCCTATAAAGATCAATGACTTGGAACCTATTTGCCTTTCATCAAAAGGAGAAAAGATACAGTGATTATACAGTTTAAGTAAGTGTATGTAGAGCTGTGTGTGGGGTTGTATGCCTTTGGTCTCAGCACTAGGGAAGTAAAGATATTCAGATCTCTGTGAGTTTAAAGACACTTCAGTGTTTGTAGTGAGTTCAAGGCCATCCGGAGATAAATTGTGAGAGCCTCAAAGAGAAAAAGAGGAACTCTATGGGTTAATCAGGTGTTGGAAACTTCCTCGAAGGAAGGTTTTCAAATGTTAACAGTGAGGTTGAGGAGGTTTAACTTTCAGTCTCTATTTTCTACCATTTATATATTTCCACGATAAATTTGTTGTGTTTGTCTCTTTATTTACAAAGACACAGAGGCCTTGTGATACCTCACCAGGATGAGGGTTGGAAACAGACCTTCGTGCATCTAAGGCAGTTGATACTGCTGTGGGTTTAAGGCTCTCATCCCCTAGGGTTGTAAGGTGACCTCTCAGAGCTGATGAGCATTCATGTTTCTGATTTGCCCTCAGGCACATCTTACAGCTATGAATGGCATTTAATGAGCCACCCTGTAGACTTCCGAGGTCAAATCAAACAAGAGAACAAACCAACTCTTCACCTCTCTCAAGTAAGTAGCAAGGCAGGTTGCACGCCTCAGGATCCAGTTTCAATGACTTTGCTGTTGAACGCAGAATTCCCTCTTAGGATTAAGAGCAAATGAAGAAGCCAGGCATGATGGCAGGTGCCTGCAGTCTCAGCTAAGGCAAGAAGATTGCTTCATCCCAGAAGTTCAAGGTTAGTTAGGGTGATATGATCGGGTCACCCATCTCAAAAAAAAAAAAAAAAATCAGAAAGTTAAAAATTAAATAAAGCTCAACCCAACCAGGCAGATGGTAGTTAAATGAGGAGATGTTTGGTGGCTTTTCTTCATTTGAATTGCTTGGCATTTCTGTGCAACAGGTTGTTTTACAGGAAGTTTATTATGGGAAAGGTGAGACAGAGACAGGGGGAGAGCTTAGAAGAGAGAGGAGAATACGGAGTAGGGGGAGAGAGAGACAGAGAATCAGAGGGACAGGCAGAGAGGAGGAGAGAGAGAAAAGAGAGAGATGGAGGGGTGGCAGTGGGTTATATACCAAGCACCTGGCGCAGGTGATGAGTTGTCAGGACGATAAGGGCCCCTGAGGGCAGTCCAGCTGAATTGCCTGCATGACAACATAACAATATCAGTTCAGGAGAAAGAGGCCTGGGGGCCCATGCTCTATAGTAGGCTCGAAGCCTGGGTTCTAATTCTTGCAGTTGTCATATAGTGGGACTTTCTGTAGACCTGCCAGTGGTGTAAATAATGGCATGAGACTCTATATAGTTTAAAGCTTAGGCCTTTTGCTTGCACAGTCTCCCAGCTAGTTCATCTAACTTAACCTGACTTTTCTTGCCCACAACCTGGCACGTGGCTAGCTCTCTCTACCTTTCTCTGCTCCCCTGTGGTCCATGTGTTCTCTCTCTGTGTCCTCTCTGACTCTCCTCCTTCTGTTCTCTTCCCCTTCGGCATTCTCTCTGCCCAGAAGTTCTCCCCTCTACTTGCTGTCAGCTCTTTTTTACAACCAATTAGTAGCAAGACAATTCTAGATTGCCTCTAGGCGTAGAAGGCTGTCTGTGTGTGAGCAAGTGTGGAAGGACAAGTATTTACAAATATAAGGCTGATGATATCATAGGAATGACAATACCAATATCCTGTTAATTATTAACAATTGAAAATATAGACACGCCTTCAATACAAAGTAAAAAAAAAAAAAAGTTACCTGAATATTTTATGGTGTTAAAGATATCTCTGGTGTCCACCAGGTATGTTCTATGTTTTCAGCAGTATCATTCTAGTTCTCAAGTTGCATACATTATCAAATACTGCTCCACACACAAGAAAATTCATATCGTTTTCTTGGATCCAACGTGAAGCACACTGACTTAATAGCCAGGGGCCTGGTTTCTTTAAGAGGTGAAGGTCTTCCAGTTCAAGGCTGTACCAGTCTCGGTGCCTTACCAGCTCACATAACTTCTGTGTGACTGAGCTGCTTCTCAAAGTGTGGTACCCAGACCCCTGCCAGTAACTCTGTGGACCTGTGTGTTAGGAATGTATGGTTCCAGACTTGGTTGCAGATCAGTGCAACCAAGAGTCTTTGCTGAGCACATGTGAGGCCCTGGGTTCACTTTCAGCACTGACCACCCACCTCTACAAAAAACAAAATACAGAACGATTCCATACATGCCCATCTGAGAGCTGTTGCCCTTGCTGATAAAAGTCCTGTGGCATCTGTTTCTAAGCAAAAGCCCTGTGTATTCTAGAGTACAGCTCTCAAATGTGTAGCAGTCCCAGACAGACCAAAATGAAGTTTCCTCCCTAGCTTTTGGGAGCCTGTAGAAGATTCCAGTGTCTTTAGATGGTCACCTGTGTGTCTGTTTTCACATTGCAGCTGTCTGTGGGACTCTATGCCTTCAGAGTGGCTGTTTCTAGTGGGGATGCATTTGGAGAAGCAGACGTCAATGTCACTGTTATGCCAGGTGAGTCTGTGGGGAGAATGGCCCCTTGGCCGTGATAGTCTCAAGTTCTGGCACCTGGATGGCAAGGTGATATAAACTGACGACATGACTGCTCCATGGTATGGTGAAGAGAATGTTTTTATTGTAGATATGAGAGAGAGAGAGAGAGAACTGCCAGAGACATCTGGAAGAGTCAAGAGCAGAGAGAGCAAGAAGGAAACTGAACAGAGCCCAGCAAACTGGATGTGACCAGGCCTATCTTTGAGAGAGAGAACAATAGCAAGGGATAGAGAATAGAGAAAACGTAGTGAGAGAGGCAGGAACAGACTATAGAGAACAACGAGAATAGCAGGGTTATAAGGAGAATGAGTAGCTGGGGTGAGGGAAGCTGGTGAGTTGGAGTTTAGGGTAGGGACGAAGTGAGAGGGCCTAGAATGCTAGTGTGGCCTTTGTAACAGGTAGTAGTGATACTGAGCAAGCCTAGAAGCCAGCATGGGCTTTGATCTACCGACAGGCACCACAGGGTAGCCATATGCCCTTTCTGCCAGAGGCAAGGGAAAAGACTCCTTTTGGTAGAGGGGATTTGGCTTCACAAGTTCCTGTGGAATGCTGGCATTTATCTAACCACCAGAAATCCTATAGTCCAGGTTGAGCTCATTTATGGATATTTGGACTGCCTTTTGGAGTTTGGACCAGACAACATTTAATACATATTTTTTTATTTTTATCTTAGATACTGATTTAGTTAGAGTTGTATTGCCATGAAGAGACACCATGATCAAGGCAACAGTTAAAAGACAACCCTGATGAAGGAAAGCACTTAACTGGGGCTTGCTTGGTTACCATGGTGGCAGCAGGCAGGCAGGCAGGCATGGTCTGGTGCTGGAGGAATAGCTGAAAGTTTTCATCCTAATCCACAGGCAGACGGGTAGGCAGGCAATGCGGTGGTGGTACTGAGTCTAATGTAGGTATTTGAAACCTCAAAGTCCACTACCCGCCCTACCCCACCCCCGAGACACATTTTCACCAGCAAGGCCACACCTACTCCAACAGGGCTGTAACTACTAATCCTTCTCAACAGTTCCACTCCCTAGAGACTAAGTATCCAAATAGCTGAGCATTTGGGAGCACGTGCAAGGATTATGTTTGGTCTTTCTGTCTTTGTTTTCTTTTGCTTTTTGTATAACTCTAGCACTCGCTTGACATGGCTACTCAAGTAAACAAGGTAACTGCTTGCTCTTCGCAAATGATGACAAGTGCACCTTGGCCCTCCCTGTCCGATACTTACTCCCTCCACTTTCTTTCCTCATGAATCAGCTTTCATGTAGAAGCATGGATAGTTCAAACACATTCATCTGTGATCCTAGAGAATGAGGGGCACTTGCGCGTTATGGGCTATAAAGCCCATCCGTGGGTCATAGTGCAGAGTATTCCTGTGGATTAGAGGAGATGACCTTTGGTCCTAGCGGGCACACCCTGCTCAATGTCCTGGTCCCCTGCTCCCATTTATCCATCAGTTCAGCTGAGCCACTGGCCTGCATCATCATGTTTACAGCAACTCCATCTCCTACCCGTTTCTCTGGGGTCCAGTAGCTCTACCTTTCCCACAGTCTACTTTATTACAGTTGAACTCTAGTAATGGTGGGAGCACCTTCAGTCAAGGATTTAAGATCCTGCTCATGGTCTGGGGATGTAGCTCAGTTGGCAGAGGGCTTGTCTAGCACTGAATACATCTGTACTCACCTTGTAATCCTAGGACCTTTGAGGCACAGACAGGGGGATTAGGACTTCAAGATTGCTCATAGTGAATTGGAGGCTACTCTGGGATAAACCACCCTGCAAAATAGCCTTCCTTTTCTGTACTCCCTGCACACATGCTATAACTCACCTCTTGAATCTGGGATCATATATAGAAATGTAAACTGAGAGACAAGTTCAGAATCCACAGGGGGGATTTCAAAGTTGACAGTTTTCCACAGATGAGACCCCGGAAGAGGAAGGCCTCTACAGGGTGTTTAGAGAAAGCTTTTCGGAAGAGGGTGCCTTTGCTTGTGAATGACTAGCTTGTGTGATGCAGACATAGCTGCTGTGTTCTTTTGTTTGTTTGTTTGTTTTCTGTCCCGCAGCCACTCGAGTCAACCAGCCACCCATAGCTGTTGTTTCTCCCCGGACTCAAGAGCTCACCGTGCCTTTGACCTCAGCGCTGATTGATGGCAGCCGTGCGTATCCTCCAGGTTTTGGTGGCGTCCCTTGTTTGTGCTATCAGATTGCGCTCTCTGTAGCAAGGCCAAGAAGACTGAACAGTTACCCTATGATAAACCTGTGTCTTTCTGTCCTCGGCTTCCAGCTGGGAGTGGTAGCCTTTCTGTAATCTTACCACATAGGTGGCAAAGGCAGGAGCATCAAGAAATCAAGGTCATCTTTAGCTGCTTCAGGAGTTCCAGGCCAGCCTGGGATACCCGGAACGCTGTCTAAAATAAACTGCAAACAAACAAATATGATGTTCTTTTAGGTCAGATATTTGATTTGTAATTCAAATAATTACTAAAGATTCATGTAGCATTCATAATATTAGCAATTGGACAGACCCTTTAAATAGGAGTGGGGTTGGCTTCAGTGAGAGTGGGCAGTATTTCGCTTACTAATTTTTTCAGAGTTTACACTTTAAATAGAGTATAACCTTGTGTGTCCATACAAATGAGGAGAGACTTTAAACACATCCAGTGTTTGACAGGGTTTAACAGTGTGATGTGCTCAGCTTTTATGTTCGTTCAGTCACAAAGTCAATCCCAGGTCCTGCTGAGAGTGAAAAGCCATGGCCGTCCTGGCTTGTTGCTCAGGAGTGTTCTATCTACTAGCCTGCAGATGTAGACATCACAGTGATGTGACTGCTTGCATTTATTCAGTGTCGTGTCCACATCCTCCACCCACCACAACATGAAAACACAGCACACTTGTTCATTTGCCTGCTGTCTCCCTCAGCTCAGGCTGACACCACACTTGCCGTGTACTTAAGGTTGACCCTGACCTTCTGATGCGTTTTTGACCTTTTCCAAAGTGATGGGGTTATAGGAACCTGTGCCTCCATGCCAGGGTGGCAGAGAACCCTGTAAATGGAAATAATTGTATGGAAAATGGCCTCACAATTTTTAAATCTTCTGATTTAGCATAGCTTAGTTACAAAAACCATACAGGATTATTAGCCAGCAACATAAACTTATTTTCCTAAATGAATCTGATGAAAAGCCAACTTCCTTCCATGTATATACAAGTCTATGGTTCTACATGACACATTGTTGCTCTCTTTTATTATTTATTTGTTTATTTTTGTGATATGGAGATTGAACCTAGGGCTTTGTAGATGCTAGGCAAATACTCTGTCAGTGTGCTGTAACCCACAGCCTGCTTTTTTTTGTGTGTGTGAGAGCTTGTCTCACTATGTAGCCCAGTCTGGCCTTGAACTTGTGATAGTCCTGCTTTAGTCCCCTGAATGCTGGTGAACTGCCATGCTAAGCTATGGGCCCCTTCCCCACTCCTGGGGATCAAACCCAGGGCTTCACACACATGATAGTGATGTACTGTATCACCAAGCTACAGTCCCAGCCTTCAGTGTCTGTGTGTGTCTGTGTGTGCACACAACGTGACACACTTGTAGAGTTCAGAGGACAGCTTTTGGTAGTAAGTTCTCTCCTCCCACCTTGCGGGTCCCAGCAATTAAGCTCAGGTCTTCACCCACAGTGACAGGTGCCTTTACCTGCTGAGCCATCTCAGCCCCACCCTGGCTTGCTCTTTAAAGTGGAAAAATTTTCATGCAAGGTACAGCCTTTCTCTGGACTTCCATTTAGTCGTTAATACGGTGAAGAAACCTATTAGTTCAGATATGAAGCTGTCGGGAGCATGTCACCTGTCACCAACGTGAGTAGGAGCTGGATTTCAAGGGGCTGCATTTTGTGCTCCAGCACCTGTCACTCTGCATCCTAAATATTCAGCAAGTTAGAACAGCCCTGCTCAAACCTATGCAAGCCTAAAAGAACATCGTGATGACAATTTAATATGTACCGTAGAGATCTGTGTGACTGCTTATACTAAACACATTACTAAGTATTCAGTAAATTATAAAGCTTTTATCTCTCTATTCCCATAACTGGTTCTGGATTTTGTTTTTTTCGTCTTTGTAGAAAGTACAGATGACACTAAAATAGTGAGGTACCACTGGGAAAAAGTCGATGGGCCCTTCCTAGGAGACATGATTCTGGCTGATGCCCCGCTCTTACGACTGTCGAATCTAGAGCCCGGTAACTACACTTTTAGGTAAGTGGGTTCCCTTCATTGTGTTTACCCAGGACTTCTCTTTTGACTATTTCTTGAAACTGATGCTTTCTATAAAAATAAAAAGCAACATATCTCGAAGCAGGAGGAAATAAATTATTTCCCCTTCATCCATGACCTAAACAGGAGCACTCTGAACAGTATGGTATTTAGATGCACATGCTACTTTGGGCCTTTTTCTTTTTTCCTAACTTTTGTTACAGTTCTGATGAAAGAGACCCCAGGGGCTTGGTTTGTGGCCAAAGCTGGAGCTGGAGCTTGCCCCCCTCTCTATTTTTCGGGATGTGTGAAAGAAAGCTCAGAAGATGCAGATGGCGCTTGATACACAGTTTACCCTGAGCTTGTTCTCGATTCATCTTTACAAGCTTAACTCACAGAGAGCCCACCTGCTCCCTGCCCCCACCAAGGGTAAACTGAGGCAGTGGAGATTGTGCTGTTCTTGGGACCACAGGAGGGATCATCTCAGTACAGGAGCGCCTGGGCAGTTTTTTCTTTTCTTTTCTTTTTTGGTGTGTATAGGTGTAACATTTTTGTGTATTTGAAAATGCTTAACCCTAACACGCTGTGCGAAGAGTATCCTGGAAACGTGATTGTGGGAAATCCTCTAGAAATGAATTTAGATATTGGGTTGCTTTGTAGCCAGAATTCATAAGTCAGCAAATGCTTAAGAGAGAAGGCAGAAAAGGCTCCTGGTAACACTATTGCCAAGGGTTGTTGGAGAGGGATGCCTGGTGGTGCTATGGGGAGGGGTAACTCTTAGGATGAGTTGAGTGGTCTAGAGAAGCTTCTAGGTTGCCTGGAGGGAACACTTTCTCCACTTAGCATCTCAAAGAGTTCATGAAAGCTAAACCTTAATGTGAAAATGTATTATGACTCAAAAATAAAATGAATCTATGGCAACAGAAGCAAAGATTATTATCCTCTGACCTGTATGTTTTCTTAGCTCATTCTCAAGTTTCTGTTTTCATCTCTTCTGAGAATGGTTAGTCTGAGCATGCTAAGGTGACCATGTACTTTCAGCTGTGGCATAGTCTCTGCTGTAAAAGCTTTCTTCTCTCTTTTATAGGTTGACCATCACAGACTCGGATGGCGTGATCAACTCCACCACTGCAACCCTCATCATCCGTGGTCCTGTGGACTATCCACCTGTTGCCAGTGCAGGACCAAATCAGACCATAACCTTACCCCAAAACACCATCACTCTGAATGGAAACCAGAGCAGTGATGATCACCAGATTGTCCTCTATGAGTGGTCCCCAGGCCCTGGCGGTGAGAGCAAAGAGATGGTCATGCAGGCAAGTCCTCCATCCTGCCTGCATCTCTCTCTTTTTGTCTATCTATCTATCTATCTATCTATCTATCTATCTATCTATCTATCT